TTTTTTTTTTTTTTTTTTTTTTTTTTTTTTTTTTTTTTTTTTTTTTTTTTTTTTTTTTTTTTTTTTTGGATTTCCTTTTTTTTTACTTTCTGACTACCCTCATCACTGTTAATAGACAAAGCAAGAAAAGTTATATTTGAACAATTAAAACTTTTAATTAGGACTGATCAAACATCTGCATCTAGAGAAAGTAACAATGTAATTTGATACTCAGATTTATTCTCTCTTCTTCAGGTATTAATAAAGAAGAAAAAGAAATTTACATTGTATATATTTAAAATTTTGGCAAAATAAATCTGCTGGTACGCTTTTCTTCTCCGTGATGGAGAATTTCATTTCTCAGAGAACATTTACTGATTAAAATTAACTTAATTTAACTTGTATTGTTTTAAAAAAAAACTTACAAAATATTTTTTTATAATTAATTATTGATAAAATCAAAGTATGCTTTTAGCTTATTTAGGCTACCGATTTCAATTAATTTAATGTGCAAGGTACTGTTCAAAGCTTGATAGTACATTGCAACGCACTCTTGATCTAATTATAACTGCCCTTTTCTTGTGGGAATATTTTAAGGAAAAGTGTTTTTTGAAATAATCTCTAGATCTGAAAATAGTTTTTATTCACAAGATACAATAATTCATTTGTCCTATCTTAAAACAGGTTATAAAAAATATGCTCTAACAAATTAAGCTTTGCTCTAAAGCAAAGGGCAGATTTTGAACATTTTTTAAAATATGAATTTAAAAATTGTAACAAAACACAGTAAATTGATCAATCCTTAATACTAGAACTAATAACAGTTTGTATAATTTTACTGATATAAGACCTATCACTTTTATTTGTCCATTTTTTCAATTTATTTATTATTTTATTTGCTTTTTTTGAGCAATTAATGTTTTTGTACTATATTTAAGATCTTAAAATTATATTTTTTAAGCTTGAAGTCATTGGCGGTACAGATAAATATATGGCTGTGTGTCGACGTTGCTATACTTCAGACCCAATCCGAAATTCATCGATGCCCTTGTGTGAATCATCTCCCAAGAAACAAAAAGTTGACTGCTGTACTTGAGTTTGCATTTTATAAAGTTCATTTGTTTTTACATTTAATAAACGTGTGTATTGCTCGCTATTCAGCCCGGTCATGAAAAAAAAAAAATCATTAGCATTTTTATATATTTTATTACATATGACTATTATTTTTAATAAAGAAAATGTTTATTATATTTTTGTCAAATCTCTTTGATTGTAGTTTAAAAATATTTCTCTGATTACATAAGCTCATATTTTATTTTTATTAGTGATTTAAATTTTATCACCAAGAATAATGTATTAATGAAATATTGAAGAGGTTGAAGTATTTCATCACACACGAACTACTACTTCACTGCGCATGACAACATTTTTCGTAATGAAAATTACTTGAGGTATGATGATATTGCTTAAAAAAGAGTAAATATTGAATTGCAACAGTCATAAGATCAAGATTATTAGACATCTATTTTTCTCAATTTACTAAGAAAATTGTTAATGATTAAGCCAAAAAACTTTTTCTTTTTTTAAAAATTTAATCATTTATTAGTAGACGTAGTTTGAATCGAGCCTTTTGTAGTCAGTCATTTCACTGTATCAAGGTGGCCACAAAAAAGGTAATTTACAAAAAGCACATTTTGTAAGTTTATATTAATATTCGTAATTTATCTAAAACTGATATCAATTATGTTTAACCACTTCCCAGATTATCCCAAGTTAACTCTGGTAAGTATATATTTACTATCTCTAGAAAACTCGGGTGCAGTAGAATTTGTTAAATCATTTTGTTTTATCTAGTGTTCATGCGGTTTGAATAATAATCTGCTGTGATTAGAAGTTTTGTTTGAATTGTGGGACTGCACACATGTTTTGTGCGATTGTATATACGATGGTTGCTGAATGTTTTTTACACAAAAAAATATGACGAGCTATTAAGTACCAAGTTTATAGTAAGGCATATTTTTCATTAATTTTTTAAACAAATATTTGATAAAGATGTATTTCGACTATATTTAAAAAAAAAATTGGTCAAATTGCTGTCTAGATTTATAAGAAAAATACGGTATAGCTATTGTTAAGATAAATATAATATAAAGATTTCGAAAAGTTTCATCATTATTTTACGTTGAAATTATAACAAAATCATGAGTAATGTTTTAGAAAGAAAAAACTAAAAGATTTATCAACAAATACATTTATTGCAACGTCATAATTTATATAAGCATAGAATAACATAGTAAATATATTGGAATGATCACCGGAATATATGAAAATTATATATTTTTCAAATATAACAGGATATAATAAATATTTCTTTACAGATCACATTATACCCAAATATTGGTTTGATTGTTAGACACAGGCATCAAGAACGCATAGATATAATCAAAAGATACATATAAAGTCAGATCAATAAAATAAGCATTTTCAGGTCTGCATTTTTTTTTTTCAAGAACAGAAATAATAATTTGTAATTTATAAAAAAATAGGTTTTAATTATAAATAAAAAAGTTTCATTGCTAATGAATTCCTTTGCTTTACTTAATTTCTAATAAACATAAAAATTTCATTTTTATAAAAATAAAAAAAAATATTTTCAATGATGAGCAAAATTTTTTATAAAATTTGGCATTTGTATTTTAACCCTTTCACACAGATGGGACACCACTATCCCTTTGATATATTTTAGCATTTTTTAATTATATATATATAAAAAAAAATTTAGATTATCAGAATTATGTATGCACTAAAATTCAAAATCCAAAGCAGGTAGTTTTACAACTTTTTCTTCATTCATATTCAAAAATTTATTAATAACTGATTTTGTAAATTAAGAAATTTTCAATGATCAACAACCGATCTAAAAAACTGCAAATTTGAAAAGTAACTGTTTGGAAGTGAGCCACGTTTGGAAGATTTTAACTTGAGTGCAAAAAAAAAAAAAAAATGCTACTATATTTCAAAACTATACATTATTAAAATGCTTAATATTTCTTCACTTATTTTGACCTAAATTTTAAAAATTCTATGTCAAAGGGTTAAATTATGATCAGACAAAACAAACACGCAAAGTAAATACTTCAAATATACCATAGGAAGACACATTTGGCTGGAAATTTTTTTTACACCTCTATAAAACATGTTATAAGTTGCAAATTTTATCAACAATGCATTGAAGTCAACTTTTATTATAAAAATATATAACTTACAAGATATTCGTCTGTTAATTTTCGTACTTTTCAGAAACATGGAAATTTTTATTAGTACATATATTTAAACTACTTATAAAAAGTTACAATTTTATGTAGGCTTTCTCAATACTTTTATCCTTTTTTCAATAATAAACTAAAAAGTTCATTACTTAATACTAGATTGAAAATGGTGATGATCTATGATTGGCTTTTAAGAAATGTTCATCAAAAGTTTCATATAAAAAAACAAGATGAACAACATTTTTGTACACAATTTGTTAACGTGTTGGTAAATAAATGAAATACTTTATAAAAGTTATAGAAAATAATATAATTGATAAATAATAATTATGGAATTGGTTAATTAACAGATTTAGTTATTAATTACTGAAGTTACCTTTTTTTAATACTTGCGGAAGAGATTTGAGCGTTTTTTTTTTATGAATAGCATTGTCTTCATAGAGCACAAGCATTTAAATATAAACATTTTTATAACTGAGACAACCAAGACTTTTTTTGAGAATTATTCATTATACAAATTAATGTTTCAATTTATAAATAAGCAAAAAAAAAAAAATTTAAGTTTCAGAAGAAAATAGTAAGATTAATGATGTCAATTTAAAGTGCATATAACTTAAGCATTGATAAACTATATGGAAAACAGTATAATTGTTCTATCATATAACCAGAAAATTACTAATCAAATCTTTTAATAGAATAATTAAATTTTCTTTATAAATATTTTGATTTAAGATAGTAATAAAAAACCTTTGTAGGTTATTTTAATTTTGAAGGGGATAACAATTTTTATAATATGTTTGAGAGAAAGGCAATTTTTTTATCACAATTCCTAAGGTTCGATAGATCTCATGTTTTCAGCCCCAAATTAGCAAACTGAGAAATTCTTAACCAAAAATAAATTGATACTACTAAATTTTTTTAATCTTTTATGTTTTCATTCTATCTTAAACAGTTTTATAAGCTTTAAAGCATACTGGTTATGCTGGCAACATCCTTTTTATAATAGTTTAAAACAAATAAGGTTAAGTTTAGAAGAATAAATTTTTTTTAGAAAATACATCTAATTTACTCCTAAATAAAAAGAATCAAATTTTTATTCTATAAAAAAATTATTTGAACAATAAAGTAACTGTATTGTAATATTTTCAACATATTGCTTTTCTTTGTTTCATACATAAAAATTTGTCTTGAAAGTTTTGAGATTACACTAATTTTAATTCTTGAAACTACAAGCATAAAAAAAAAAAAAATCTCAAAATTTGAAAGCAGAAGAAGGGTTAGTTAAAGATGCATAGTGCATGTATGTCATACAATTTTAAATTAAAACTAATTTATTTTACCTTTTATATTATATGAATAGTTTAAAACTGAAAATCTGCATAAAGAAATAGTTCTATCTGATGATATTTAATCTGGTTAGTTTTAATTCATTAATGAAACAAATAAAACTTTAATTCTAATCATTTATAAAATTTTTTAAATATTTTTTTTTCAATCATGCAAAAGGAAAAACTTAATCATAATTCAAAATATTTTAATTATTAAACTTCCAATAGCCCAAATGTTAAACATGTCTTGCTAAACATATTAAAGCATTTTTGGAGCCTGAACAAGTATAGGTTATACCCTAACATGAATTTGGGTAAAAAACAGAACAATTTGAAAGTTATAGTGAGGTTTGAGAGTTGAAAAGTAATCAAATACATTATAAATAATTTTTTTAGCAAAAGCTTATTCTTATTATTACTGCAGTCTTCAAGACATTAAACTCATAGCTATATTTTAGAAGTAAGATAATAAAACTCAATGAAATATTTGTAGTAATTATCTTGCATATTCATATGCATTATTAAAGAATAATAAAATTACCCATAATCTCAAATTATTATCATTTTATAACTCACAACCTAGAATGGCATACACAAAAAAAAAATAGATAATAAAAATAACTCTCAATGTACTAGATTTCATTTAAATAAAAATCTGAAATAAGATTTTTATTTAAATGAAAATTCTAATAAAATTTTACAAAAGATTAATCAAGAAAATTGCGAAAATGAGATTAATATCAATTGATAACTTTTTGATTGTAAAATATTAAATATCAGAATACAAACATTTTGAATAAGGGGAGAAAATCCCACAAAACAATATAATTCATCACTGAATTGAGTATTTAATTAAATAAAGCTCTTAAAATAAATAGATGTGAAAAACTAACTAAAAAAAAATCAGTATAAAGAGAAGGAGGCTTTTAACAATGAAAGACATGAATAACAACTATATATATAAATATATTTTAAATAGGAATTCACCAGGTTTTAGCATTCAAAGTAATTCATTTGCTTCAAAAAATATTCACATTTATAAATTGCATGATATTCAAAATATCTTTATGCATCAAAAAAAATTTCTAATGATACGGCACTGTTTTCATTTAGGCATCCGAAATACAAAACCAAATTTGATTTTGTAGTTACCTACTAATGGTAGAAGTAGGAGATGGAGTACCAGGTATAGGAATCAAATTTTCTGTTAAAGGTTCCATAGTTTTCCATATTGTTGAAATCTAAAGGTTAAAAAGATGAAAATTAACATAAATAATGAAAGTGATTATTATCTAAACAATTATTAAAATATTTCTTTTGTTCTATTCACTTAATAAGCCAGCTGTTTCAACCAATAAATTGAGATGCAGTTCCGCATTTCCATCAAAAACAGATAACTAAATTGAAATGTAACAACCAAAAAATAATTTGACAAACTTTAATACTTGGTGGATTAAAACTTTTGACTTCTATTTTAAATCTTAAAAGTAAATTCTAAAAAAAGATGTTTTTTTTTTTTTTTTTTTTTTTTTTTTTTTTTTTTTTTTNTTTTTTTTTTTTTTTTTTTTTTTTTTTTTTTTTTTTTTTTTTTTTTTTTTTTTTTGCAGTCATATGAAAATCTTACTACCAGTTTCTAAAGCATTTTATGGTAAATGTTTGAAATTTAAAGTTATCCAAAATAAACTCTAGTTTTACTTACATTAATTTTAATTAAAAACATTTATTCCTGGCTTAATTGAAGTAAAAAATATGTTAATAAATGAACCAATTAAACTACAGTAGAGCTCAATTATCCGAACTGCTTGGGACCGAACGTGGTTCAGATAATGAAAAGTTCGGATAATTGGAAAGTTGTTTGAAATCTAATTTAAAAGATTATTATTTATGCCCTAACTTCCCTTCACACTTTTTCCAGGTTTGGGACTGGCAGTACTTTCTAAAATTGCTCTGTTTAAAAGTTTTTTTTTTTGTTCAATTTTTAAATATTTTTTACTTATTTTTTTCCTTTTTTTTCTCCTTTTCTTCATTTTGAATTTTTTTAATCATATTTCAGCATTTTATAATTTCTTTTGTCAATTACTGATTTTACCATATTTTTCTTTATTTTCTATAGCGAAAGAAATCCAACAAAGACTTTTGTTTCAAAGAAGATGCTCTTTTTTGAGCAGCCATATCCCTTATTCTTTTTAAATAAGTCAACTGAACTGGATCAACATCAATTTGACGTTCTAGCCAATTCATTGCAATATCTAATGAATTGCATTTTTCTATATGAGCAGGTTCACTATCTTGAACTTGATCACCTATACTTCTTCCTCTTTGTCTGTGGAGTTCCGATTTTCATTCAAAATTTCAGCAACAATTTCATCATCATTTAAAATTTGATATCCTGGGACGTTTTCAGTGTCTCGACGCCAGTCTTCTATTTCTTCTGCTGCATAACCTGGCATCTTTTCAGCTGGTAGATCTACTGGTTCAGAAATTTAAAAAAATTGTTGATAAGTTAAAAAGAATTCTAAACTTTAAAAAAAAAAAAAGAACGAATTCAGACACAGTTCGGATAATTGGCCGTTCGGATAATCGGCGCTCTACTGCATTATCAATGCATTACATGAATTGCAATTTTAATTTATAAATGTTGAACAGTCGAGCTATGTCACATTTGTGGCTATCAGTATTGAACTCTGTTGCCTAGTAATTTTGAATCCAATCTAGAAGACAAAGTAACTCTTGAATCAAGCATTGGGATAAACTCACATTTATGAAAACTCGCTTTAAAAATACATGGAGAGGAAAACTTTCCATGATCAGCCAGACAACGAAAGGATTTTAAACCATGATCTGTTTACCACTGAAGATATTTCTCATTAGCACTGTAGACAGCGGGAACTGGGAGTAGTATACAAATCAATCAGGTATTTGAAAATGGTTCACTTTATATAAAGGGGTGTGCTTCATCTTATAAGCCGCCTCAGCTTATATGTGACTTACACAATTTTTTCGGATTAATGTTTGAAAAGAAGATTTTTTTTTAAAAATGGCTCTGTTTGACAACAACACAAACAGCTATTTATAATTTGTCCCTTATAACAAAGATCAATATTTGTCTTCGCAATACAGACCAGTAAACAAGGGAACAAAATCATTCAAACAACATTTTAAGTATTGTAAATTATGTGAAATTTTTAAATACAGAACAGAACCCGTTATCTGGAAATCAGAAAACCGGAAAACCAAAAAACCGGAACGAAATTCGATAAATTTTCCCGCAATTTAAAAAAAAAAAATTTTTTTTCCTCATAAGATTTTAGGATTTTTCTTTCTTTTTTGAAAGATGTTTACCTTACCATCATTTCAGAAATAATCATTAGTGTATTACCTCATCGTTTTTTCTTATTTTTAAGATTATTTCCAAATATTTTTTTTTTTTTAGTTGGGTTCAACACTAAAAAAACGGCTTTTTGTAGCGATTCAGAAAACCGGGAAAATCAGTTATCCGGAATAGCGATAGTCCCGATCGTTCCGGATAATCGGTTCTCTACTGTAGTTGCAACTGAAAAAACAGATTATTACGATCAATATTATAAACATCCAATAATAAAGAAAAATTTACAAAAACTATTTAATTTCTAGTAAATATTAATTTACTGCTATAAAAATTATTTTTTTTATAAATTTGCCAGTAATGTTTCTAGTAAATATTTTTACAGGAAAGGGTAAACCAATACCCTGCAACAACTATGGAATTTCCGCAGTTTTTGAAAACTTTTTTTCTTTATGGTAGCAAATTTAATGCATTAATATTTAATAAATTAAAAATGAAACATTTTTGTTCACCACTACATATTATTAAATTAATCAAATATATAAAATGTCAAATGGTTATCCTGATAAAAGTCCTAGCTCTAGAAGAATTCAATTTATTGCAAACATTTCTGCCGATGTTTATTACCACTGCAAATAATATTTCATATAACTCCAGATGTCAAAAGGTATGTAAATCCTTAAAAAATTATTACATTTCATTTAAAGCCTTCAGTTAAAATTAGTATTTTTTTAAAAATATGGAAATTCTAGTTTTAACTAAAGAACAAAATTATTCTTTAGGTAAGAAGTAAGCACTGGAATTATAAGGGATACAGATACAGAAAACTAGCAAATTTAAACCAAATATTATGCAAAAATATTGCTATAAGAATATGTATATGTACTATATCATAAAAATGCAAAGCAAAAATATGTTTAAAAAAAATGCAAAAAGAACCTAAAAAAACAGATAACATGTAAAACTTTCTGTTAAAATTAATTTTTTAAAAAAAAGGTAAACTCTAGACTTAAATAAAGAGCAAAAAAATATCCAATAGCTTTAAAGTAAGCACTGCAATAATAAAGGATGCAGATATAGAAAACTGACCATTTTAAACCAAGTATTTTATAAAGATATTGCTATAAGAATATAAAAATGCAAACCTAAAATATATCATAGATAAGCAACATTAACGCTATTTATTTTTAATAAAACTCTAAAATTAGAAAAAACTACTTACATTTGATAATCCTTTAGTCCGCAAACTAACTAGAGATTGAAGGACTTTTACCAGAACTTGCATGTAGGTATGAACTAGCTGTGTTTCCATATGAATACAATGTAGAAAAAAATAATTTCTCTTTTCATTCAGTTGATGAGCTTGATTTTCAGCATCCTATGATAAAAGCAGAAGTTAGTCCAGTTAAAGTAACTAATTTATGGAAACAAGATAAATTAAAATACTTACCACTACGATGGGATTTGTAGATGTTTGACGAGCTAGAAGTTTCCTCGAACTTTTCTGTCTTACTACGCTGTTAAATTGTTCATATCGATCACAAAGTTCCTAAATTTTTTTATAAAATGTTATACGTTTTAAAAATATCACTAACTAACAATTTAATATTTCAAGAAAGTATGTAAAAATCACATTATTACATTATTTGTGAAAAAAAATTATTATAGCATGAAATAGATTATCAGTTAGAAAAATTAGATTCTTTTTAAAAATTATAAGTTATTATAATAAATTTTTATCAACTTTTTCTATTAAAAAATATATTATATAAAAAAGCTAGATCTTTTTATTTTCAAACATTAACTTTCTGTATATTAATTACTATATATCTTAAAATAAGAGTTACTTGGTAGGATATTATTCAATTAATAAACTATAAATTAAAAATGTGCTTATTTTTAAACTTAGTATTAAGTCTATATTAGATGCCAAAAATATATTAACACACATCCATCTGTATTATAAAAATTCACAGTTAATCACCAGTATCCAAATGACGAAAATTCGTCATTTGCCAACTGGTATGTTGCAGCAAATGATTATCAAAAAATTTTGGCACTTGGTCAATGAATGATATGTGCTAAGTTATGAAAAATTCAACTAATCTGAGAGTATTTTTTGAAAACACACAAAATCTCTTTCTATGGAAATAGTAATAAATATAGCTTTTAAGAGAAGTACCATACTTTAAAAAGAAGCATGTAATTTAAGTGTTATAACTAGCAACAAAATGGAATTGAGAACTACAAATGGAACACTGAAATTACAAAAGGAATAAATAAATCAAAATAGCAACAAAATAATAATAATAATTTGACGCCTGACATTTCACTCCATTTTGGCTCTTAGTGAACACTTATTACTAAAATGTGGGAATCTAGCTTCATGTTTATTCTTTAAATACCTAATACCATTGTTTATAAACATTTATTTTTTAATAATTTTTTTAAAACTTATTAATCACTATGTTATGTTTTAATGTATCACTATTTTCCAACTTTACAAAGCTGCTGCAAAACAGGAATGTTTCCAGACCTAACTTATTATCTTCTTTCTATCAGTAGAATGCTAGAAATGCCTTTCTTTTCCTAGTACTGCCAAAAAAAAAACTTATTACAACTTTTTAAGCAATATGTGACAAATAGAACAATATACGACTTTGTTATGTTCATGAGATAGAAATGAATTTTATATCTTACAATAGTACTCTTGCAAGAACTAAAATGATCAACCAAGAGATCATGGTGGTTAAGTTTCCATAATTTTGAGACTAATGGCATGATGGAGACAATGTGGTCAGTACTGTGCAACTGTCTCTTATACTTTCCAGATAAGATGATACTTATTGACTTGATGCTGGAGGCACTCAAGTCACCATCAGTGTTAAAGCCAGTATTTTCTGATTAAATTTTAAAATTACTTTAATCAATAGAGTGCTTCGTATGTGAGAATTTTTTTTTTAATAAAAATTTCTCATCAATGTACATTTTTTTTATCGAAACCTCTTGAAACAAAAAGCTGGTATCCTATACTTTTGATAGTTATCCTGCTAAAAATCTCTTTTTCTCCCTTGTCCTTGAATAAAAAAAGTGCGTTGATGAGTAATTTTTATAAAAATTTATCCAAATCCAAACCACTTTAGGAATCCAAATTACTCAACCTAGCAAGCTATCAAAAAAATAAGTTATAAGTTTGACTGATTCTTTAATGTACTCTACAATTTTATAGAACAATTTAATTCAATACATTTAATTAAGTTTAAGTTAATATACTTTAAAATTAATGTTATATAAAATATTTAAATATAATGTGCTTTTAAAAAAATAAATCTTGAAATAAATTTTGTTTCTACTTTAAAATGTTGTGTTGCATTTAACCCATTTGTTAATCATATTATTAATGCATTATTGCATTTCAAAAAATCATTTACTGTTTAGCTTCAATGCCAAATAAATCAATAACAAAACTTAATTCCCCCCCCCACAGTTGAAAAATAGCTTGTTTCTGCCACCCCTAAAGTGCAACAAAACATTGTTTAGACTGGTATATCAAGGGAACTATGTATGTTTTATTTCAAACAAATAAATATTAGTACAAAGTTGAACGGAATTGCAAAGTAAATTATTTAACATACCTTGTATGCAGTAAGAATATCTAAAAATAAATTTAACTCTTCCAAAACTTCTTCCTCTTCTTTAGATGCCTATAATATTAAGATATAGAAATGTTATTCTTCTTTATAAATTTTATTTTAAGTAAATAAATTTGAGAACAGAATATACTAACCAAATCAAGATATGCAGAGGAAACAGTTGATAGCATTGGGTGAATATTTTTCATGCCTCTTTTCAAATCATCCCATGTTTCATTACCTCCGGAACCCCAATCAGATTCTGCACTGGCACTGTTAGCCAAAGAGCTGGAATAAAACAAATATTGATCATGGAAGAAAGAAAAAAACTATAAGTATATTAATAAACATTCAAAGAATAGTTAACTTCATATAATCCAGAGGTACTATTCCTAAAAAAAGTCGTAGTTTTGATGCTATATAAATTACAAAGTAAATTTTTTGTAAATTATAATTTAAAAGAAAAAAAAACTTTTTTTTCTGCACGAAAAGATTTGTTTAGATCATTGATTCAGAAGCCAATGTGTTTAAGTTTCTGTTTTACTTTTACAGCTTTTTGAATTTGGGTAAAGTCAGTATGAAAAAAATGTTCCCTTGAAATTCTGTTACATTTTTTAATATTACCATAGTTTGGCATTTGCAGTGATTGGAAAATATTTGTGCATACTAATAATTAAAAAAAAAATGTTTATGAACAGAAGTTAAAAAAAGTTATAACAAGATATTGGTACAAAATAATGCAAATAGAATAAATATTGTGATACAACGATAACGCAATTTATAAGTCATGCATTTTGATTTATATTCATGTGGCTTACAAAGATCATCACATCTTCATGATCCATATTAATGGATTTCATTTATTAGTTTATGAATCACACATTCAATTTGTAGTAATGTTGTCTATAACTGACATGTTAACTCGAGAGTTTATAAATTTATAAAATCAAATATTTGGATTTGCCTTTTAAATTGACCAAGATACTAAGAAGAAACATAGGAGCAAAATATGGCAAGTAAAGAAAAATGTAAAATATAGCACATATGAATGAGATAAAAAGTGACAAAGTAAAGACAGAAATGTTGTTTTAGTCTTTAAACTTGTAGACCTGGATTAGAAACACAATGACCAACATCTAACATAACAATTAGATGTGAACAGAAAAAAGGAGTTATAACAAAGATCATATTTTAGCTATAACATGGTATAATAGGACGTAATTCTCAATTACTTTTATAATTAGCAAAATAAAAAATATTAATTATAACTTTATTACAGTAAAACATCTGAACAATGGTCTCTAGCGGAAATGTGAATGGTGTAAAGTAGTGGCCATTATTTTAAGTTATCAATAAAATGATTGTTTAAAAAATAAAATACAGATTTAATTCACAAACAGTTGATTTAATCCCCTAAATTACTGACCCAATGATTAGCATTTTTCTTCATTAAATGACATTAATTTGCTTTTATCCTTACTCATGTAGTAAAGCACATTTTCATAGGCTAATTAATTTTTTACTATTTAATTCCTCTTTTTAACCTTCAATGGTTATATATTCCGTTTTTAACCGTGAAAGGATAATTTTCTTAATAATGATCAATTAAAATTATTGCAAGCTATAAGATGAATAGGTGAAACAAATTAACTAAAATACATCATCTTCTGAAACAAAGTTCATGCTAGTAACAAATGGCTATTGCTCAGATATTGCTGTTCAGAGGTTCAATCTCATGTAAATCGTATGGAATAAATTCGGTTAAATAAAATTATATTTGTTTCTTGGTGATTGCCATTGTTTGGAGGAGATCGTTAAACGATTTTGGACTGCACATTAAAACTACTTTTTTATATTAATTTTTAATTTAAAAATAATAATTATTTATTACTTAATTAAAAGGAAATGTAATTTTAAAGAACATAAACAATTAGTACAAAAAGTATTTTTACAGTGATCATACTCTAAAAGATATCAAGCACAGCAATAATAAAGACTGAAAATAAAAAATTGTCTGCTGAATTTATTGATACAGAACCAGAGTCAGCTACATCCATATGATGTTATATACTCAAGGTATGGAAATTAAATGCTCTAAACAAGGTCTTAAGTTCATAGAACTTGTACAAAATAGAATAAACCTCGTCATGGAGCAAAAATAGTGAGATCAATTGTATTTAAGGAAAAAAAGCAGAAAAAAACATTAATATTTAATATATGATATAAAATAAATAGAAAATGTACCACAATTCTTTTCCGAATAACAGCATATCAGATGACTCTTGCTTTGCTCTGTCAACAACCCTTTCAGTAACTTCTTTCAATTGTTGAAAACCATTGTATACTTGTTTCATCTGCTCTCTGACAATGGATAATTGATTAAATGAATCAATAGGAACTAATTCCTAAAAAATTAAAATAAAAAGCATTTAATCATTAAAAATATCATACAGAAATAAAATATTTTTAAAAAAAATGAAGCCCATACTTCTGCATCATTAGCTTGTTCATTTGAATTAAATTCATCTAAAACTCCACGAAAGTGATCCTTCATTTTGTGTTGAAGATCCTGAAAAGATATTAAACGATTCACATCTTTTTTTTTTTAAATGTAACATATAATAAAGTTCTAATTTAAATACGACAGTACAGTGAAAACTTGTTTACCAGTTTCATTTTGTTTCAATGAAAATTCTGTTATCCAACAAATGATAGGACATACTTTGTGCCATGTAATATTTTTACAATATTTCATCCCCTCCCCGCAACTTGAAGATAACTGCCTTACATACACTTGTAACTGTGCTTATAAAATTTGTTCAAATAGTTATCTCTTCAATGAAGAGATCCTTTCCTTTAAAGCTATTGCTGTGGACCAGGGTTTTCATTCTAATATTATTGGTTCCAGTAATAGGAAATTAATCTAGCAATCTCCCTAACTCTATAGTTTGAACTTTAGCAATATAATTATTTTACCTTATAATCCAAAAATTAGTTTCCAAATTGGTAAGATTTTTAATAAATTTGTGATTAAAGTTGTTTTTTCAACTGCAAATTTCACTAACCTTAAATACGCTATTGCTGGTATTTATCAAATTTCATGTCAATGTGATCTTGCATACATTAGGCAAACTAAATGTATCCTTAAACTTAAAGAACACATAAGATATGCCCAAAATCAGGGCATTAACTGATCTTTTATTACTACATAGTTGAAATTCAAATCACAGATTTGAGTCATTTTCTGCTAAAATCAGTCAACATTGCTCTTCCCTTTTTAAACTTGATTTTTGGGTGTAATTCTAAGTTGTTAAAAATTCTATTAATTTAGTTAATGACCTTTCTTGGCCGTTAACTAAATTTTTGGGAGTCTATTTTAATTTAATTTGTTGCATTCTGGAGTTCCCACCAAATTCCCTCATATCTGTTTCTTAGCTCCCTAATTATTTTCTTGTTGAAACTTGTTCCTCTGTTCCTACAGGTTAAACTATTTTGCACATGTTTATCTCGTTACTATCTCTAACATATGAAATAGAAATGTAGAACTGAATATATATATATATATATGTTAATAGAACTGAAACTATGGATGTTCATTTATGTACTTTTATTTATGCTTTATTAAAAAATTTTTCTTCTATTTTTTTGCTTTAAACTTCTGTTACTTCTTTAATATATATTTTGTGAAAAATGCTGATCCAATTTAAACTTTTGTCAGGTTTCAAGGTATCTATTAATAAAATATTTTTTGATAAAAAAATGATATTCCAAGGTAGTAAAAAGGAAAGAAACATACTGTGCCAGAAAATGTCAGGAAAAAATGAAGTATTTTGTCTTCTGAAATAACAGGATGTCTGGCCAGAAGGTTTAGAAATCTTTTTAAAGATTTTCTTCTATCTTCTAAAAACTGTTCATCAGCTTAAAAATAAAATGGCATTATTTAGAAGCATATTTTTACTATAAAAATAATAAAATGAATTGAAACGTTTATAGAAAGAAAAAAAAAAAAAAAGACTCTACAATTCTATAGCAATAGCATAAATACAATAGGAAAAAAAAAGACAAGTGACATTAAACAATGTTTAAAGTTAATGTGGCCATATTTTGACACTAAAGATACATTTAAGTTCATTAATGTATTGAAAAAAATTCTTACCTCCCATTACTTTTTTAGGTGGTAATTGAGGAATCAACCTGTATGGAAATTTTTGTAACAAAAGCTCTTGTAAAGCAACAAAATCATTATATCTTCTTTGAACATTAGATTTATTTCTCTATAAATGATAAAAAATGAATGTAATTAAAAAAAATAACTTTAGAAAAATATTAAATATCATAAATTAAATTATACTAATTAAACAAATTTTATGCTTTAAAATGGCCCCTAACTCTGTGTCTGTGCCATTATAATGACAAATATTAAAATTCTCATTTTTTATACCAGATGCAATAATGATTCTACATTCTTTTGAATAAAAAGAGTGAATTATTCAATACAGCATGAAGATTGAAATTAAGTTTCACTTCCTCTTGAATAAAAAAAATTTGCTACTAAAATAGAAGTTTCAAACTTTTATAGTTAATTGACAGAAAAAAAAACTTAGAGACAGACTTAACTAATACTTTCATTTGGCATTGGTATACAACAAGCTTGAAATATTAAGTTGCATTGAAATAGTTACTATAGTTGACAGAACATCCAGACAACAATGCTCAGGAAAATAATAGATAAAATAATAGTAAAGATCAAATCAATTGATATCAATGACAAGATTAAGAAATGAAAATGATTCTTTGAATATGAAATGTGACTGTAATTTTCTGCTATGACTTTAGTTGATTTTATCTATTTACTGTCATACCATTAATCAATATTACACTGATTGCTATTCAATTTATTTTGAAGAGAACAAATGTATGAAAATCTGAGTCGACAAGTATGGAGGATTTCTCCTTTAAAGTGTTAAATAAAAAACGATATTTAATATTCTCATTTCGATGCAATACAGCTAGACTCATAACCTTTTTTATGCTTTTTTCATTCATATAGGCATGAAATTCTGCAATCAACTAAACTGTATGAATAGTAAATTGTGAAGAGACATTTTAATACCAACAGTTTGCAAATTGATGAATTACTTTTTATCATTTAATTTACTAATATTATAAATTTTATGAAAAATTGAAAATTGTATTTACCTGACTAGTAACTTCATATTCAACATGTTTTAAAAATAATCCTTTCTTTTCAGGAACTAATGCTATTTGAACACTGTCCAACGCACAAATTTCATGGTAAGTCAGGCCTAGTCGCATAGGGTTTTTCTCTCGTCTTAAACGAATACTCAAAATCCTTAGGTCTGTCAAATCACCCAAAGAAGGTTTCGGCAACTCTAATTTAATAAAAATAGAATATTTTTTAATAACTTATTGAGAAAATAGTAAGAAATAAATTTTTATGAATTAAAATACACTTAATAAATCATGTGTTTAAAAAATTAGTATAAATAAAAATAGGATGAAATGAATATTCAGCCACTACTCGGCATTCTTTTATGAACATTTATTTGTTAGGAGAAATATGCAACAAAGTATTTATTAGAAAACTTCTTTCAACAATTTTTTTTTTAATTTTTTTAATAGATTTAATAAAGAATATTCTAAAAGAGTATTTTTTACTATACATTCTTAGAAATAGTTTTCACACAAATTTGTTAAGTTCTAAGGCTTGCAAATTTATGTTCTGGAAGACAAATGGAAAAGCGAAATTTGAAGAATCAAAACTAGATTACTTTATACTGAACTATGAGTTTTGTAATGTTAATTTTTTTTAAAATTACATTCAGCCAAATCAACTTTGTCATTTTATCAACACTTTTTGTTTCAAGAACTAAAAATATTTTGTTTTTGCTGTTTCTATTATAGTGCAACATTTTAACAGAGCTTTACTAATAAAACTGATTCTTTCACTGTCACTTTTTTCCTGTTTCTCTTTTGTTTTTTTATTATTCATAATTATTGCTTTTTTTATCAAAATTTCTTATTCTTAATAGTCATTGTCTTCTAAAAATATGACAAAGGAGTTAAACTAATATATTTTTAGCATTACATTTTGTGTTTAAAAATTAAGAACAATTTTCATTTTGATTTCTATCTAGCTTATTCTTTTTTTAAAAAAACTTTTGTTCTTAATCAAGTTTTTATTATGACATGGCAAGTAAGAGGTTTTCTATTAGACTTTTTTAAATCTTTTTCTTGAAAATACAGTAATTGGAAAACTGAGACGTTCAGCTTTGAAATATTCTCAAGAAGATCAGATTTTATTTTTCTGTTTCATTTTTATAGATAATCTTTAGTTCTTATTGCCATTTTCATTATCTAAATACTTGTTTGAATTTCAAAAACTATTTAAGACTATGTAAATCAGGATGCCCATCTTTTCAGTACTTAAAAGCACATTCTAGAATACAAATGAAACAGTAGACACTATTTTTTAAAAGTGAATATTCAAATTGAAAAATAAAATCACACTTAATAAAATTGGCATTCCAACTTTTATATCACATTTTAGTATAAATTTAATTATTTCTAAAGTGGTCATAATAGCAACAGTCACAGGTAAACCTTTTGATAGATACCATAAAGCCTGTTAAGCAAGAATTTAAAGACCCTTAATCTAAATAAATCACTCTTACATAAATTGAAAACTATTTTTATCAGAGTTTTAAGTAAAAGATAAAAATTAAACACATTGGATAGACTAAAAAAAGTTATATTTTAAAAGTATTGGTGTAAATTATTATAAAAGTAATGTTGATGAGTGATGAGCAAACTGATGATAATGGTAATGAACAAACAACCCTATATCATTTCCAGCAAATGTGAAGAGATCTCATGCCTTGGTTTAGTTATAAAACGAACTGAAAAGTGAAGCAATTTTCAGGTTATAGTAGATTTTTAAACATAAGTTAAAATCTGTTTTCTAGTTGGTTTAAATTATTAGCTTTCAAACGTAAAGTTACTTTTTTCCATTTTATTTATTTTAGATAATAAATTAAAAATAATAATATCCATTTTATTTCATAAAAGTAGGGATTATGCAACTTTCCATCACATAAATGGCTCTTAAGAAATTTATCTTTGCCACTTTAAATTAATACCTTGAAAGTAAATAGGTATTTTACCTAGTTGAAAGGTTTGACAGTAAATTCTTATCTAAAAAACGTTTAATGCAAGTAAATTATATCATGATTTATTTATTTCTTTAAAAAAAATGTATTTCAGATAATATTTAAAAAATATTAATTTATGATAATACAATGGTATAACACCAAATATTACTGAAAGATAATAATTATTAATAAAAGAAAAAAAGTTCATGCTTAAAATAAGGTGAGATACTTAAGGAGGCATACAACATCTTCAACCCCTTAAAAATACACTATCTTTTTTCTACTTTTTTTAACGTAGGAGCATAATTTTTAATATTATAAAAACTAATTTTCTCAGTATTCTATGTCAAAGACAACATATTTTATTTCATTTAAAACATTTTATTTTTCCGAAAATAATCAGTTATAACAAATTAGCAACTCTAAAAAATAAACATTGAATCCAAAACACGTCAAGATAATTACTTAATTGATTGCTAGGATACTGAAAAAATATATTGCCAATGTTCGAAGCTTAGAACTAAATTCTTAAATAAGTATCTGATATTAAAATATTAGCTTAAAAATCATGAAAGAGTTAATACATTCAAAATATATAATTCTAGCACAAAGAAAATAATTTATAAGTACCTCCTCCAGTGAAATTTTGAATAAGCTTTTCACTGACTTGTTTACCCTGTTGAGCAAATGCTACTAAAGCAAGGGCTTTATATAAACCAGATCGTGATAAATAGCCTTGTCGGGTATCTACAAGTTCCCATATCTAAAAATCAAACAAAATAAACTTTTTTTTTAAAGAAAATATCTCGTATTTTTTTAAAAAAAGCCTAAATTAAAAACTGAGAGTAAATAAAAATTAAATATCAAACAAAAAAGAAAAGTCATTGTTATCATCATTTATAAAAAACAAGGAATAGTTTTCTTTTTTTAAAAAAAATCTGATGTAAAAAAAAAGCTTAAAAACATCTTCACCTTGCAAGTGTAATTCCACGCTTATTCTCGTTTAACATCATTTACGATAATGAAGATAGAAGAGAAACGTTTTAATCTTACTGAATTACCAATTCGATGAAATCAGTTTTCTGTTGATGTAACATTATAACCTACATTCAGTTCTCTTAATATTCAGTATTCTAGTTATTATTTTACATATCTCAAAACCATTTGTGATAGTATAATAATGAATTTCATTTGAAAATAAAAGACTACAAATTAAAATACTAAAAAAAAAAAAATCTATTTGTTTTGTTTCTTAAAATGAAAAATTATTTTTACATATTACCACCAACTGACTAGTTCAACTTTTTTATAAATAATATATTCCCATTTTGACTTCTTTATTGGATTTGGTAAAGGCATTTTTTTTTTCCTCTTTTTGGTCAAAACATAGTTGTATAATATTCAAATTAAATTTGCATAAAGCTTTTTGTATAAATTATTATTCTTAATGCTTGCATAATATGTTACATGTATGTTAAATTGATCTTAATTTTTTTAAAATAACACTTTGCCTGACTCTGTTTTGTACTAGCAAACAAATATGAATTTATAAAAAGAGTGTTGCATATTAACGCGTTAAATTCTGCCACCAGACCTATAAGGAATCGGATGTCTTCTACAACAATCTTAAAATATCTACCCTTCTTAAAAAGTTTAAAGTCAAATAAATATAAACTCAAAATTGTTAAACCTTTGCAATAAATGAAGTAATAAAAGCGTGTAATGTGCAAATTTTAAAGATAATTTATACTCATATTTACTAAAATATCATTCAAATCAAGACCTGCTTCAACTTACTTGTGACAATGTTTGTTTGGGTAAGCTAGATTTCACTAATAGCTTAATGAACATATCTTGATCTACAACATTTTCTTGATTAGCGCAAACAATATCATACATTTCTCGATAGAATGGTGGCACAGTGCCTGAAAAATATGGAAATTTATTAGTTCAAAAACAGTATATACAACTGCACAGGATGGCTCTGTTCAAGCTGTCACTTTTTTAGATGTGCCTCTACAAAAATTGAAAGTAACAAATCTATCTTAATTTTATTTTTAAATATTCAAATTAAATTTGAAACAGGTAAGTGATCCTTCAACGTTATTTCTTTACTCTAATAGTGTAAAAAGATACGGTAAACTACAAGAAAAAAAATTAAAATGATAGACGGTCAAAAGCATTAAAATACTGTAACATAGAAGTTCTCATATGATTTAACACCAGTCATTTTCCATCCAAATTACTGCAGCAGAAGTAGAAATATAAAACAAACAGTAATTTCGTCTTAATATTTGTTTAAGATTATTAGCTTGCAAGAAAATTGAACACTAAGCTACATTCATTAAAATACTAATGGATATGATAATATAATCATGAATATAAATTGCTTAGCATCTTTTTTAATTATAATCAGTTTTTGAATGCGAAATGAAAACTAGACATAGGATATTTTTTAATTTCCAGTGCAATAGTATTATACTACGCAATATGTTTTCAGGAGTAAAACACAAGAATACAGTTGAAAACAAAACGTTTATTTCAGGGCGATAATTAAAAAAAAAATGTTTTTTAAATAATTTGAAAGTGAAAGTAATTTTCTTTAGAAATTTTTAGGAATAATTAGACATCCTCAGTAGTTAGTGACCTTGCTAGTAGGTTCCGAAATAAATTACGTTTTACTTTAACAGTACAAAAATAAAAGTAGTTACTAGGCCTCAACCTTTAATTGACCAGCTAATAATGTTTAAAATTATAATTATTCAAAAATTTTAAAGTTTAAAAATATTACCGAACGCCAAATCCGCTGCCATGGTCACCCAAAATAAATAAGTCACGCCCCCATTTCCTACTCAATGTTTCTTTTCTGTTGATACATGAAAGATAAAAATATTTATTGCTAATTTATTCAATTTTGTAACAAATTATAATCAATAACTAATTTTTAAAGACTAAAAATATATTAAATCACTGCAATAAAGAAATTTAACTCTGTAAAAGAAAAAGAAATGCATATTGGGGGAATGAAATTCGGCAGTTTTCGAACTAATAGTTTGATTACGCTGTTTCCTTTTCGCAGATCTTAAAGAACGGATTAAACTCGAAAGTTTTAATTCTTTTAATGTGATCAATGAAATGAATATTATTTTCAAAGAATGGCAACCGTTATCATTAAATACAGAATCGCGCAAAATTTCTGATAAACAAATGTTTAGTTTTGAATTTAAATAAAATACAACAATATTATCAAATGATTCTTTAATCGCAAAGTTATTACTATCCAAAATGAGTATATTACTATATATTTATTTTCACTAATCCTTAATAGTTAGTATAAAATAGTTTTCTGGTTTTTATAACATATTTCGTCTGCCAGATTTTCTTAAATAAATAACTCTTTACTGCATTTTTATATGAGTTATTTTTATTATTATTTTATATGTAGTAAAATTTATTAACGATTCGTTTCAGTAATGGATTAACTTCATATGATTACGAATTTTATAATTTGAATGTGGTTTAAAACCTTATTTTAAAATATTACTTAGAAATAAAATATTTCTTATTAATATTATAAGTTTAATATTTTTCACGTGTTTTAAAATTATTTGCAAACTAATATATTATTTAACAATACATTTTCAAATTATTGTTAATCCCTAAAATTATTTTCAAAGCTAATATACGTACAGATTAAAATAACTTGTGAAGAAATTTTGAGAGACTAATTTGCTTGTTAAAAAACCATAATGTGCTTATGCAAAGGTAGTTAACACAAACAGGCACTGTTATGGAAATATCGCCATTAATTTCTATTTCCAATATTGTGTATTTCAATCTAATTTTAGTAAGAATATAAATTTTAATGAAGTTAAGATATATTCTGCACTTTTTTTTCACTGTGATATGTATTTGAAAATAAATGCTAAGGGATTCTGTAGAACTAATCTTTGTATTTATTACCTTATAATTTGTCTTCCTATTGTATTTTACTGCAAATCATTTCAAGCTCATATCACATAGTTTTAGTCTTTCTTTACTAACACGAAGTATAAAATGGTAGAGATATTTCCATATTAGTATCTGACAGAACCAACTGAAATTACTGAGCAAGATTGTCAAGTACTTTTATTTATTTTTATTTAATTAAGAAAAACAGCCGCATGTCCAAGGATCACTAGAGTTTCATTTTTGAATTTACTCCATTTTGTGTGTCTGTTTTCTCTTTTAGTATCTTGGGTTATACTGTATGGTTGTTTCCAAAACTTGGTGATTATTTTGACTCTTAGGTTTATGAAAATTCTTTAGAAAAGTGAAAAATAATAGCTTTTTACTTATTTATTTGCTATTTTTTGGTAGAACCTTATGTTTAATGGTAGAACCTTAATGTTTATCTTAATGTTATAATATTAATTATGGAAGTTTATCTACAGAAAATATTTTTCAGTGTCCTCAGTTCCACAAGGATGGCATGGTATTCCTGTACCAACACGAAATTCCCAGATGACATCTATGTCAGCTGCTTCAACTGTGCCAACCATCATTAGGAAAAAATGGAACTCACCACTCTCATCAGAAGTTCCTCCCAGCAAGCTGCCATCTTATAAACCTTCATCTGTCAGATTACAAAAAAGTGCAGTAAAGAATACTCTTTCCACAAGATCCTCATCTAAGTCACAAGGTTGTAAACTTTTAGAAAAGATTTCCATATCGGCATCTGCCACAAAATAATCGCTTAGTCTTGACGATTTCTGTGCTGTGATCCACGAGAAACTAAAAAAATATTATAAAATAATCATAACAGAGGTCCTACTGAAAGGGTATAACTCGTAGCTGCCTGCAGAAAAACCTCTTCATTTTTTTTCTTCTAAATTTTACTAGTTTTAGAACTCTTTGGCTCATAAGTGATTGTAGTTGGTGCGAACAGCTGTCGATATGGAAGTATTCCCAATTTTTATTATCTCTGATCTTTCACAGGGGCTCTGCAAACTTATAATTTGGAAGGGGGTATTTTTAACTTACCAAATTAAATTCCACTTATGCTGAAATATTAAATTTTTTTTTGCAAGTAATAAGCAAAAAATTGTTCAGTCTTTAGTTTCCATAAGTGAAAGAATAAAGCATTTTTTTCCACAATATTAAATTAGCTAAACCAACACTACTCAGTTTTTGTTAAATGACAGTTTATTTGCTAATAGGGAACTTTCATAATTTTCTGATGACATCAAACTTCCCTTAAAATTTTTTTTGTGTGCTTGAATCTCAAAAGAGCAAGCTAACTTACAAATTTATTTGATATCTAACTGAAAACTTGGTTCTCTAGTTTTACAAAATATGAGGGTATTAAGTTTGATTAAATGAAAATTATGATTTTAGTTGTTCGGCAAATAACTTTTAATAATATTAACGATTTCAGTTAATAAAAGTATTTTAGTTTGTTTAAGTATTACTATTAAGCATTATAAATTCATTTAATCAGACCTTTAATTAATAAATTGATGAGTGCAAAAAAAAAAAAAAANAAAAAAAAAAAAAAAAAAAAAAAAAAAAAAAAAAATTGATTTATTGTTTATTTATTTATTTTTTCTAAAAAAACAAAAACAATTTAAGCAAAAGAATTTTTTCTTTAAAAGAATCATGAATTTTAATGACACTGCATTTTATATTTTTAAATATATTTTACCATTTTACCTCTTTTTTTTTTACCATCATGTAATTTGTCTGATTTCTGTTTCAGTTGATCTGACTTCCACTCCCACAAAATCTTCTCCAACCAAAGAATTGAAAAATGATATTGCCAAATTAAAAAAGGTCACATATTTAATTTTTCTTGGAAAAATTATTGTTTGTTAATGTGAATGTAATTTAATAATTTGTGTTTTAAAAAAGTATCTAAAGAAATCATTTGAATATAACAAACAAATATGCATGTATCAACAATGCATTTACAAAATTAATACATTTATTTCATTAGTTTTATTGGCTATTTAACTTCTAAATTTGAAGCAAAAATTTTTTTTTTCTTTTTATTGTTTTAAATCGAATCAAAAATTACTTAGTTAAAGCTGCTTTATATGATTGATATAAATTTTTATTGTTCTAATTTTGATTAGTTTCATAAAAATTGAAACTTCATTATAATAATATATAATTTATTCTTTTGTAGAATTTGATTTTTAAGAGTATTGTTATTTTTTTTTATTTATTTTTACATCTTTGAGTTTCTTTAATTTTTTCTACTGGTGTAAAAATGAATGCTGAAAAGATGATAAAGTACATAATGTAAAATTATTGTGCCCTGTTCAATTTTGTTAATTATTTATAATGAATGCTTTTTAATGTAATTAAATATTTTATGTATGCTTTAAATAATGAATTGAATTTTATTGTTTATTAAATTTATTTCTTTAGTAATTTTTAAATTTTCTTTTTTTAATATTTAATTATTTTTAAAATTTTAATTATTGAAACTTTTGTGAATAGCATGCACTGCTAAAAGCATGATTATTCTAAGCAAAGTATTCTTTGTAAAAAAAAGAACTTTTTGAGAAGTACTTTTAACATGTTTTTTTGTTCTGTGTTATTTCTGCTTCAAGCTCACCAGTCAATAATTCTCTAGCTGATTATCAAACCTAACTTTTTTTTATTTTATTTATATCTATAAAAAACATTGTTTTAAATAATCCATGGTTTCCTAAGTACCTTTTTAATCTCTGGCTTCAAAATGTATTAGCTTAGGCTTAATAACACTGATTTCAACACTTTGATGAATACCCTGATGCCCGTTGGCTGAGTGGTAGCGCTTCGCGCTCCCGTGCCACTGGTCCTGGGTTCGAACCTTGGGCCGGGCAAGGTTGACTCAGCATTTCATCCCTTCAGTGGGTCGATAAATGAGTACCAAGTATGCTTGGGAACTAAACAATGGGGGTTCTACGTTCGGCTGACCACCTGACCGGAACATCTGCTCCTGCACCCCAGAGCCCAAGGTCAAGAAAACTGAGATGGGTACAGTAAACCTTGGCCCTCTATGGGCTGTCACGCCATTGAGTTTAGGTGAATACCCAAAGCAATAAAAGCTACAATTGTTATTATTTTTTATTTATTTATTTTTTGAATATTGAGAGAAAATATTACAAGTTTCTTCTTAGAACTGACATTTACTTTAATGATCTTCTATTTGCTGTCATGAAAAGATGTGATACAGTCTATAATTATGCAGCTGTTCCTATAGAAGTAGTTGATGCCATAATTCGTTAATCTTTAAAAATAAATTTCATTACAACCCCAATTCTTTTAGATGCCTTTTCTAACAAAAAATTTGTTGAAACAAAAAATTTTATCTAAAAAATATGCTGAGATATCTGTTTATTTATTATTTTGTTTATTTAAGTACATTCGATCTATTATTCCCACATTTTTCATTTCCCCATATGTATTGCCTTGTTTTAACGATCCTGTCACAAATGCTGTTCTTATAATATGAATAATACCAGTTTAAATCGTTTTTAAAACGAGCAATTTCATACCTCTATCGTTTAGAAATTCTACTGACAGTTGATATTTTCCAAAAATATTGAAGTTAATTTGTTTTGAGGAGAAAAACAATAACTCCTGATGCTAATGATGAAGAAAATGAGAATTCGTTGCAGTTTACAAAAAAGGTTTCAAACATCATGTCAAGACTTCATGTTTATGCATCAGTTGATGAAAAAGAGAAATTTGTGGTATTGTTCGTTCAAGGAATAGTTGTGGAAGCTGAAGAAGTACAATGTTATACTGATGGAGAAAGTGAACTTGACCGAAACCAGTGAAAACATTTGCAGAAGGCCCCGGAGCCTTTGAAACAATGAGAAGCTTTCTGTATTCACATGATCTTTCAGGAAATGAATAGGTATCTGTTATAAATGACGAAAATTTATTATTTGTGATAAGAAGAAAAAAAGAGGGTGATCAAATCAAAATTTCCAGATATCTTCCAGTGGAAGAATGAACATAATGATGCGGGAAACAAATATATATACCATTCATCCATCTTTCGCATTGTAAAAGTTTTTGAATTAAGTGCATAATTTTTTTCAATTAAATTTTTTTTAGATTAATTATAAATTTATTTGTTTTCAAGTCCATTATTTCTTTCACTTTTCATACATTTTAAAATCACTATTTTATATTTAAGATGAACTATATTTGTCATTTACCAGCATTTATCATTTGTAAACCCTCGTTCCTTTAAGAAATTATCAATTGAGGGTCTACTATATCTATGTTTTTTATTAATCAATTACTGATTAAGTGAGCACTAAAAAAATAGCAAAATTTATAAGCAAGATTCCCAGCGAGTTGTTAAAAATGATGAGCAAGATACCCAGGAAGAAAAAGAGTTATATAAGAATTCATAAAATATGCTTATAACATGTATGCATAATAATAATAAATACCATATATGCAAATCATATTTTGATACTAATACACTCTCAGAAATTTTGTTTTAAAATTTAAATCTAACTATTTTTAAATCAAATCAGTATTTTATATCTGCTTATTTGTCATGTTCATCCATTGTTATTATGAATGCATTCAATTTTGTTTTAATATAGGAACTTGCCACTATAAAAACTGAAAATTCTATCTTAAAAGTCAAAGTTAGAAGAGTTGATGATGAAAATATACAGAAATCAAAGCAGATTGAGAAATTACGAGTGGAGTTAAAGGCAGCTCAGAAAGTAAATAATTATTTTTCAATACATGCCATAAAACATTTTTGAATAGAAAATATTTGCTGCATTACTTATTTATCTGTAATATTTTTCCTAAAAAATTTGTTTCATTTTTTTTCAGTCTATTTTTTTTCCATATACCTAAATATATGTCAAGTCTATATAGGGATTGTTTGTAATTATCATGTAATATATGAGAACTGTTTGAACTTTATTGAATGTCCTCAGCATTTTAGAAAAGTTTAATTGTATTTATTTCAGTTTCAGAAAAATATGTTTCTCCCAATTAATCCTTTTTGCACAGTAATTTCTGGTAGAAAGACCACACTATTGCACATGCAACATCTACAAAACGCTTCCCAACATTTACAATTATCATTGCATTAGTTGAACTTCCAATTTTAGTTACAATAGCTTTTAGCTGCTATTAATGAGAAATAAAGATCTCAATAAAATAAGAAAAATTAAAAAAAATTTTGGTTATAGTGTATTAGAGATGAGTCAAAAACCTTAAAATGTAATTCGAGCAAGCTTCAAATCCCACTTTCAACTTTAGAAGCACTAACGTCATGGTGTGAAAAGAAAGTTGAAACTGTTGACTAGTTGTAGTGAAATGAAAGGGGGAAGGAAGCAAAATACTGTGCACCAATCGTATAACACTGATGACTTCTTCAATAAACACAGCTATAATGTTTTTCTTCTTTTTCTCTCGTGCTTCATACACCCACCCATGCCAGAGAACATTCTCTGGCAAATGTGATTTGAATTTCCACTCTGGGCTACATGTTTTTTCTCCGTTGCTTGATTATTAATTCATTTTTTTAGCTTCAAGCAATTTTTTGAACTCAGAACATATTTTTTCCCCATCTCCAGAACAAACAAACAGTCGTGTAATCATTCCCATTTTGTAAATTGAAAGTTACGCATTCGTAAGTGTTGTTTAGTCCATCATCAACAGGGTGTGTAGTGTTTTTAAAAAGTGCTTGAAGGTGCTTATTTTTTATTTACGTTTTGCTACATTTTACAAAAAGTGCTACATTTTCTATCTTTTAAACAGAAAATTTTTTCTTTGCCGTATTGTCATTATAAATTACAAAGAATTCACGATTTTCACTATTTTCTCTGCTATATTTATCGGAAACCAGTTATTTTATCATGATTATGGAAAGTTTTAGAATTTTATTCATTCTATGTTTATAAATTAAGAACTTTAAAAACAATAGAAAAAATAACTTTTATTGCTGTACAAATCCTAATAATGATTTTTTTTGGAAAGTGATTAAAAAGAATTTTTGAATGCTTAAAAAGTACTTAAAAGGTGCTTATTTTTTGTTGAAAAATCTGACTACGCAACCTGATTAATCAAAAATTTGTCTTATCTGCCATATTTTAATGAAAAAAATAATAGTAAAATATGAAAAAATACTCTTTTCAGAGCACATTAATATTGATCTTCTGTTGCAGAATATTTTTTGTAAAAATTTAATTTTACTTAAATCTACGTTGACAGCAAAATTCTCCTGCAAAAACTACGGAAAAATTAAATTTCAAGATTGGCCACACCAACTGATACACTGCTCATGATAATTTAACTTTTAATGCAGCTTTCCTATGGGAAATTACTGTGCATAGGTTGGTTCACCATCATTATTACTGTGACTTTCTTCTATGTTTTTTTAATTTTAATAACTATTATTCTATAAGTTGAATTGTGTTATTAAGTAATTTTTTAAAATGTGTGGTAATTTTCAACAAGCATTTTTAAAATGTGTAGTAATTTTTAACATTATTTATTTTTAGAGTGAAGTTGCCAGCAGTAAAAAAAGTAAAGAATCTGTAAGTTGATTTTTCTTTTTGTTACTTTGATTTATTTTATTTGAGTTGTAACAAAATATTTATGCTTACAGGAATTACTTTTACTGCGCCAAAAATGCTTACGTTTAGAATGTGCTCTGAAAGAAAAAGATGCCATAATTAAGTATGCAGATACATTTACAATTTTCCTTTGTTATAGAAATAATTAGATCTAAGTAGAAGTTTTTCCTTTGAATAGAAATCGAAGTATTAATATAAATGCTTTTTTATGTTCATTACATAAAACCTTTGTTTTTATTAGTATTATAACAAATGATTATTTAAAATATATCTAAGATTATATTTCATAAATTAGTGATAAAAATGAAATTCACTTTTAAATTAAAAGAAATTTTTTTTTTAACAAAAATATTGTTTGTTTTCTAATGAGTGCAGTTGTACCTTGATTATCAAAATCTTTTTTGTCTCTGAATTTCCCTCAACTGTAGTTTGTCGTATAATTATAACTATGATCTATGTTACTTATCTAGGTAGGTGAATACAAAATATGTAAACAGAAAGGCAGGCTCAAGAAGTTTCCATCACTATGAGTCTGGTTTAATTTAGGGACCTAGAAATTTATCATGAAGTATAAATTGTTCATCCCACAAATTTTATAATGCAAATTTTAATTTTTTTTCCTTTGAAAAACTTGATCTGTTTTTTTTTCTTTTTTCAAATTCACCAATACTGAATTTTAAACTAGCACCTTTATTACTTTAGAATTAATATTTATAGCTATATGCAATTTATGGTTGTTGTTTCCAAATTTGTTTTAATAAGTTAGGTTATGTTTCAGGCACATCCTGTATATCTAATTATTTCGGTGTAAAAAGTATAAGAAAAAAATTTATAAATAGCTCAATTTGTATAGCAGTTTCCACCTACTCTTTAATACTTTAGTGTTGATGACTGGTAACTTCTTTTAATTAAGAGGTTACAAAATAAAATTAATCATCAGTTTGCTAAACTTAACAAACATATCTCTCATAATATTTAGATGATCTAACACAGTGATAGTATAATTTATTGATGCTTATAAAATGAAAGAAGCCCTTATGGATATTATTATTACCAGAGATTTCCAGCTTTTTGGCTAATTTTCTGTTGTGCATTTAAGAAAGTAAGAAGCATAATTTAAATGTCTTACTTCACTTGATCATTTTTCAAATAGCAGGTATTTTTCAATTTGCTGAATATACTTTAAACAATTTTATTCCAAAGAGAAAACTTTCTAGATGTCACCTTCATTCATTCTTGGCACCATTTTTGCTTAATTCTTCCCTTATTAGAAACTTGAATATTACAAATCACACGTAAGTGAAAGCATCAAACATTAAAACAATTGCTGTTTAATGATTTCTATAGCTTTTGTTACGAAACTTCATTGCACGTTGCCTAAGTTTCATGCTTTCGTGTGCCTCAAAATGAAAAACATTTCCTGCTATGAATTATTTTACGATATCTTTTTCATTTCTTACATATAGAAATGATGAAATCCTATGCATTTCATTTGTTTTGCATTGTGTTATGCTTCGTATCAACTACAAATACTATTCTAATTTAAAGCCTATGTAAAAAGGACCCATCTCCAATTTCTTTTTATTATTTTTTAAAAGGCATGAACTCTTTAATTAATTAATTATCTATTTATTTGAGAGAAAATAATTGGTAAACTGTAAAATGCTGAAATCTTTCGTATTTTAAAAAATTAAATGTTAAAAGGGAGCCATGTGCTTTTTGCACTAACTAAAAATGATTTGAAATTCTTGTTTATGACTTTATATAAACGAGTTTTGGCTATTCATCATTTAATTTATAATAAAACTTACACATTTTTTTCACAGAAAACTTAGAGGAGAATCACCATTGAAATCTGCAGAGACAGACTTTTCTACTCAAGAAGTTGGAAAAGAGGTTTACTAAATCAATTTTTTTTTCAATTTTCTCCAACATGTGCTACTATCTACTAGTTAATCCCTTACAAATATTCTCTTATTTATTAGACTAGTGATAATGATGACTCAAAACAACAGACTTCATACGATAGTAAGCTTGGAAAGAAATATTCTGCAAGTAAGCATGAAAACGATGTTGTAATTAAAAATGTTTATCAATAATTTGTGTTCATTTTGATTTAATGAAATTACAAAAATTAATAGTTATTCAATAAAATTTTTCATTAATGTATTTTTTTATTGATCTGAAAAACTATAATATTATATTTGGGTTTTATAATTAAAATAAAATAAAATATTTTTATGTGTTCGACTGTTGATGATGAAACAAGCGTTTGTCCAACATTGAAAACAAGCATGCTTTGACACCGGTTTTATTAAAGATATTTTTTGTAAAATTACATTTGTCAGTTAGTTTTTTATTTGTGAGTACCATTATTATTTCTTAATCAGCTTCATATAATTTTAAAATATCTTATTAATTTATTATATAAAAGATTAAAAAGAGTATTTGAAAAGTAATTTTACTGATTAGCCTACTTACTGATTACCTACTGATTAGCATGACATATTCATAATATTTCTTGTCTGTTATTTGATTTTAATTATTAACCTATTTTTGATTATTTAATAACACGTGTTTCATAATTACTACATATTATAATAATATATTACTGATTCTTTAATAATAATTTCATCATTATTTCTTAAATAATAATCCTTAAACTTATACAATTCTGATTTATCAGAAATGATAAAGAGTCTCTATAGATTTGATTTCTAAAAAAAAAAAAGTGGTCTATGTTGCTTAAATTCTTGAGAATCCTTTTTAGAGTACATTATAAAGTTTTGATGGCTTCAGAAACTAGGTATAATTATAAGAATAATAAAATATTCTTAGCATTATATATTTTCCTATTATTTTTGACGTAACAAAGTTATCTAAATAGACAAATTTTACCTTAAATAAATATTTCTTGCAACTTGATAATTTTCATATTAGGAATTGAGAAATAAGCTATCTGAAATATTTGTCATTTAGATTTCGTCTTATTAATATTTTTTAAGTGAACTAGATATTTACTTGGGGAGTTTATTTATTAGGCAAATTTGTCTCTATTCATCATTTAAAAATTTAGGAAATTTATTTGGTTTTTAATAATAAACAAAATATTCCTGATTTATAGCAAGATCAGCTCTTTCAAGAACTACTCAGTCATCTAAAGGAGAAGTAACTAAACTGAGAGATATGATTCACAAGTTGGAAAAAGAAAATCAAGATCTACAGCAACAAGTGAAAGAAAAAGGGTATAGCTCTAAACAATTTTTATATGTTCTTGCTCATTTTTAATAACTGCAAAGTTTTGAATTGTTTTAATCCAATTCTGTTGTTTTTTTATAGACACTATAGAGTTAAAACATATTGGATTTATAAAGTTTGTTTGTTTCTTTTGGATTAATTTTTTAATAAGTTTTAGTTAATTCAATTCTGTCATCGAATTTATATGCAAAAAGATTTTTTAAGAACATCAAGATGAATTTCAACATTCCTTTTTTTTTAGTTTCTTCAAAAATATTTGCTCTTTTTCTCTCTTGCCTCTTTAAATCACCTTTGACTCTTTCACAAATTGTTAAATTTGTAAGAATGTTCCTCTCATATACACTCATACCATACTCTCATATTATTATTTAAAAAATAATGTTTTTCTGTATAATGTACAAACAAAATAACTTATATTTTATTCATTTCTAGAGTTAGCGCTTTCAAAGTTAGCCTTATAATTCCCATTTATTCTTTGTATATTGTCATGCATATCTGGAAATAAATACAAATTTCAATTTTGTGAATATTTTAAAGTTTATTCATTTATAATAAATATGCATTTTAGCTATGGGAATGTAGATTTTGAGCATTTTCCATCTATTAATTATGATTTCTTTTTTTTTAATGGTTTTTAGAAGAGCCCATTCGAACCACTCAATATGTTACATTAACTTCTCTTCTTTTTTTTTTCAATATCGTTTTATTTCATCTGTGCTAGGAAAATATTAATGTATATAAAATCATTATTTACTTTCTTTTTCTGCAGAGATGAAGTCAGAAGATTGAAGGTACACTTGAGAAGTCAAACATATACAAAGTCAACTGCAGCTCCCATTGCAAAATCTATATCTAAAAGTATAAAGTCATCTGAACCTTCTTCAACTGCAACTTCTCTTTCCAAGTCTGTAGCTAAAACAAACAGTTATTCATCCAGAGCTTCTGGTACTCTAACTCTTCCAGGCAAAATTCAAAGAGGGAAAACAGTGGAAAAAACAACTATTATGCCCTCGTCCTCGAAAACCACTCTTTCACAAAAAAGTGTGAAACAAATTCCTAAAATCACGGAAAACCAAGAGAAGAAAGTGATTGGAAAAAGCAATAAAGCGCTTAATTCATCAAAATTGCAACCAAGACCTGTCCCTAAAAAGCAGGTAAACGTTTTATTTTTATTTGTCTGTATAAAAAGCAAAGCCCTCTCTCACTCATCACTAAATCTCCCACATCCCATGAAGTTACAAAGCAAAATTTTGAGCATATGTTCTTTGTGCGATAAATAGAAAAACTAAACAAGTTTCATTTCAATATTTTGCAATTATTAGGGTAATTAGCCTAACTGACCGTTAGGGTAAATAACACGTTTTTACAAAGATATTCTTAGTTTTAGACCGTTCTTTTTAAAAAATAAATCGAAAACCCAAAAAAATTTTCATTCCCATATTTTGTAATTGTCAGGGTAATTAGCCTGACTGACTGTTAGGCTAAATAACAAGTTTTTATAAAGATTTCTTAGTTTTAGACCGTTTTTTTTTTAAAAAATAAATCGAAAAACTAAAAAAGTTTCATTTTGATTTAAAAAAGTTTCATTTCGATATTTTGCAATTATCAGGGTAATTAGCCTAACTGACTGTTAGGCTAAATAACAAGTATTTACAAAGATACTCTTAGTTTTAAGCCTTTTTTTAAATAAATAAATAAACTAGAACTGTGTTTTGTAATTATTGGGGTGATTAGTCAAAACACTTAATAACATGTTTTTACCAAAATAAAAGTCTAAACTTAGGACCATATGATTTTTACGACATGAAAAGAAAAACTAAAAAAGTTTTATTTAGTTATTTTGTAGTTATTAGGGTAGTTAGCCTGATTGACAGTAAAGCTAAATAATGTGTTTATATAAGATACAAGTCTCAAATTTGGACCATGTGTGCTTTATAGAATAATAAGAAAAAAAAGCTTCATTTTGGTATATTGTGACCATTGAGGTAATTAGACTGATTGACAATTTTGGTAAATAGCATGTTCCTGTGATTTACTACCATGTGTTTGACATGGCATGACCGATTCAGACTTTTTGACATTAAATCACAAAAAAGAGAACCCAGGCAGATAGGCGACTATGTGGAACCGTAGTTTGTTTGGACAGACATGCTAGTCACTTCAATGGAGTTTGGGAAAGATTTCTAACCATCCAATTTTCACTTTGAATATTAATTCCTAAGATTGAGAACCATGCAATCAAAGGCAGCAGGAACAAGCATGGAACTTCGAAGCAGCATGGAACAAGTTTATACAGTCAAACCAGTTGGTCGAAACAGGCAGCCAGTGCGCCTATAAGTCTTTAAAATATTTTCTTTCTTATAAATCCTTTATTTTTTGGAATAGTTCTTATTTTATATAAATCGTCATTTTCAGCTACCTTAACTCTATTTTTCCCATTTTATGAAATTTTAAATACATAGATTACTTTTTAAGCCCTTAACTGTTACAATTTTTTTATGTAAGAAAGCTGCTTGTTTTACTGTATGAGTTCCTATTTTTAAAAGGCTTTTGAATACATTTTATTTTGAAACATTTTTATTTTCTGCATAACCTTAAATAAAGCATAGCACACTTCATGAATTTGATGTTTTATGAATGCTTCAGATTTTTATACCTTAGATATTATCACAACCTTCCCGAAAATGCTACAATACAGCAAATGTTTAGGTTTTTAAAAAAGTTTTAATTTGCAGGTGAATGGTCTCAATTCTAAACTGCCTGTTAATAAGGCTACATCAAGCTTAACTGTTACAAAACCTGCTGAATCTAAGTATGTTGTACAAAATTTAATGGAAAATAACATCGAGGAACAAACAGAAAGGATGCGAAAAAATATAGCAGCTAAAAGAATACAAAGAAGTTGGCGTAGCCATAGAAAACAGGTGAACATTTTAAGTTTATTCTTTTGTTGTAATAATATATTAATTTCATTGTGTTTAACATATTATAATTTTTTTTCAAAGTTTAGATTGAAAATTTTTTTAGTGATTTAACCCGTTGGCGATTTTACCTGTTAAAGGTGATAATTTTTATTTTCCCTCTCTCTGGTCATACAAGTAAAAAACCTCACTCTATTTCTACTTACAAATTGTCAAGCACATAGAAACAGTCCATGATTTTTTTGCACCCAAAACAACTACCACCTATCTGGAGTTAGAATGGGGAAAATAACCTTTGATGCCATAGTTTTCTGATTTGAAGGGGTGGAGGAATTAGCCTGAACTAGAGTTGAGTAAAAAAAAATTGTGAATATTGGGAAGTAGTAAAGATAAAAATGTCAAAGATGCCAATGGGTTAAAATAGCTTTTGTTTCAAGGATCTTAAAAAGCTGCTTCATTGATAATAAAAGTATAAGGTAAAAATTAAGGTAGGTATTCTTGTGAGACAAAATTTTTTTTTGAAGCCATATTCCCAATATTCCCAAATTAAATTTTGTTTAACTTTTTTTTTTTTATCATAACCAAGTTTTTTTTTTTTTTTTNTTTTTTTTTTTTTTTTTTTTTTTTTTTTTTTTTTTTTTTTTTTCAAAATTAATCATAAAAGTTTATTTTATTGAAAAAAATTTTTGGTTCAATTTCCAAAATCCAGATAAATAAATAGCATAAGTTAAAATAATTTACAATTGTGAAGAATAAATTTAATTAAAAAAAATTATTGGGAATTAGTGTATTTATAAACACAAAAGTTAATATGATAAATTTTTGGTGTGTATCATTCTATCTATACACAATTGTATAATTTCTTATATAATATTAAGATTAATAGTTATTTATTAAAATTAACAACAAAAATATATTAAAATTCTTTTTATTAAACAATTACTGAGTTCGACTTCTTTGAAATAAAACTGTCTAGAAAATTTAGCTGTAATAATTCAGCATAGAATTAAATGTTGTTTTTTTTTACAGTGCAAATTTATTTTACCTCAATACGAATTTTCCCTCCTATATTACGAACTTAGGCTATTTTATACAAAGTAAATAAATAGCCTAACATAAGACAACATAATAATTGTCTAACATAATAAATAGTCTAAAATTGAGATAACAGAGTTTTTTTTTTTTAATGTTAAAAAAGCTTGATCCACTCAGTTTTCAATAATTTTTTTTACTTTTATTGGAATTAGTTTTCCAGAGCTGTTAAATTTAAATGAGTTAATTATACACAAATAAGAATCCTGTCTAATTTTTATATCTAATGAAAGAAAAATTGAATTACTAGTTTCAATAAGGAAATCATGAATCAAAATATTGTCTATTAGCAAGATACAGATGAAATTTTTTTTTTGAACTTTTACTGTATTGAAACATTATAATTTTGTTTCAATGCCTAAACAAATATTTAATTTTTTGATGCTTATTTTTTTAGATCTCTGTGAAGAAAGAACCTGACAATATTGAAAAGGTATGTATTTAAGTTTTAATTTTTAATTGAAATTAATAAATAAAGGCGAGAGTATGGTTGATTGTTATGAAAATAACTTTAGCAATTTATGCTTTCTCTTATTTAAAACGTTGTACACTGGGAATAATTTTTGTTTTAGTTGATAAGCTGCATAATATGTATGCAAAATAATATTTACAATTTTAAAAAATGTCAACGGAATATTTAAGTCTCAGATTGTTGTCAAATAGAATATCTATGAAATTTTGACTTAAAAAGGGAATATAAAAAATTAATTTATTTTACAAAATATGCTAACACAAATATAATTTTTGAAAATTGTAGAAAAATAGCTTTAGAATTATATTTAAAAAAAATTATTTAAAAAATATTGAAATTAAATAGTTTACTTAGAGAAAAAATTTGTCTCTAAAGTAAAAAATTAATATTTTCGAGTGTGATTACCAAAAATAAGTGCATTGCCAGAATTCACTGGGATAGCCTGGTCGGTAGGGCGCTGGGCCCATATCCGAGAGTTCACGGGTTCGAACCCCGCCGGCCGAAGGCTCCCCGTGTAGTTGTTGACTGATGCACGTTAAAACTCTGTCGAGTCGCAAAGTCCTCCATGTTCCCATAACAAATTTATACCTCTGGGAGTACTGGATTGGAGACCGATCGTTCTCTGATTAAGGTCAAAATTATGATCTGTGAATGAATGAATGTGTCCGCCTTATAAACAGGTGTGGCGTATGATGTGGCAGAAGTCAAATTCTTGGCCATAGATGGCGCCTCTGAAAAGCAGGAATCATACTCTCTGCTGTAAATTTGCTCGGTTTCACCAAGCAGGCTTGACCGTGTGGCAAGTAGCATTAGGACCAACCATCCAAGAAATTCTTAAATATAAGAATTATACATAACATTTACTATACATGATTTCTTTGTATAATATATAATTAATTTTATCTAACACAACTTGTCCCCACTCATAATATGATCGCCAATTCATATGTTATGTTGTTATTTGTAAAGTAATATCCCAATATTTACTGGTCAGAAATAAAACTGTGTAATGTTGAGATATAAATATCAAAATGGGTTTAAAATGTTCAAGTCTACACAATATTTATGACAGAAAAATCGAATTGGTGACAACTCTCCCTGTTTTCTCCTTTATTTATTGCATTTTTAAAAATTACGTATTCGTTACTTCTAAAATTTTCTAAAAAAATCAATGAATTTTACAGGCAATGACATTCATTGTGACATCTTTAAAATATCATAAAATGAGAAAAGAAAAGCTCAATTTTGTTGGAAGACAGAAGCACATTATTCCAAAGTTGAAAGAAGACAAAGAAAGTGCCATAGTTGATGCCATTCGAGCTGCAACAAAAACTTTGTGGGAAAAAGAAATTTCAGACATCAATTAGAATTCAAATTCTTCCAAACTTATCATTTATTAAAAGTTCATAACAGTAGGTATAAGATATATAGGGCAAAATTAATGATTGACACTGGCCACAGAGTGACTAAATCTAAAAAAAGGCAATTGAAAAATTGTCTATCAATCGCCACTGATAGCCTATTTTTTCCCACCGAAATCTGCTAATTACTTTATTGCATGGTTGTTTTGATTTTCTTATACAAAGACTATAGACGATTAATAGCCATAAAAATATATTGATGTGTTTTATTTCCAAGTTGATAATAGAGCTTTAGATAATACTAAATATGTTTTCAAATTATTTTTCTTTTTTTAGTAAGTTTTAAATATTTTATTTTCAATGATTATTTTAATTTTTTGTTTCATGTCAGTTTGCATTCTACATATTTTTAATCTTCAAACTAATTTTTTAATTGAATTTGCTTATTAACAGTTTAATTTGAGTCCACTTAATTTCATATATATATTTTAATTTAGGTAATCAATATTTAAAAGTAATATTTAAAAGTACTAAATAGTATGATTTCACTTTTATGATAAAAATTATATCAGATTTATTTTGTAATTAATAAATTTTATGTTTGCTAATAAACATTTTTTTTGTTGCGTTAAATTTAAAAACTGAAACCTGAAATAATATTAGTTGAAAATGTTAAATACAATATTTTACATTAGTATACTTGGAGTGGTCAGGATAGTTTTTCTTCATTTAAGAAATTGCTTGCTTCAAAGGAAATAATTTACATTAATGGTATCAAAAGTTATTTTGGGCAGGGAAAGCCTGGTTGTTAGGGCGTTGCACCCATGTCCGAGATGTTGTGAGTTAAATCCCCACCGACCGAAGACCCCTCGTGTAGTAAATGGTGACTGGTGCATGTCAAATCTCTCGGGTCACAAAGTCCTCCATGTTCCCATAAACTATACCACTGGAAGTACTTACTTGGAGATTGATTGTTCACTGGTTCAGGTCAAAATTACGATTTATGGATGTATGAATGAGTTCGCCCTATAAATGGGCTGTGACGTGTGTGTGGCTGAAGTTGTATTCTTGGCTATAGATGGCGCCTCTTAAAACGAGAAACGCACTCTCTGCCTTAAGTTTGCTTGGTTTCGCCAAGCAGACTTGCTGATATTGGCAAGTGGCATTAGAAATAACAACAACAAAAGTTATTTTAATCGTTTAGAATTTTCAATTTTTGGAAAAGTGGCCACATTAAAAAATTCAACTACTGGCCATTGGCTGGTAACTAAATTTCCTAATTTTTCCCTATAATAAGAGATATAAAATGGTTTATAAAAGGCACATTATTGTTTGTATTAAATTGGTAACTAGATGGTATAAATAGATGTTCAGATAGAAGATATTCAAAATAAAACTTTTTATTAGAAATTTTATTTTTTAAATGGACAAAAATTTGCTAGCTTATTTAACTCTTTCAAGGATATGCAGGTATTTGAAAGCAGGTTCACATTTCTGTTGTAAGATGAAGCCTTACTTACAGTTAATTGAAGTAACCTGGTGGTTTTTAATTTTTAGAAAACCTAAACTAAGCAGATTGAAAAATACCATTTAAGAAAAAAATATTTATTTAAAAGAAATAGTCATTCAATATAATTAATTAATAGTTTTATATGTATGTATAATATATCTTCTCGTGTTCTATGAAAAAAAAATTTTATCTCTTGAACAAATATTAAAAATTAGCATTAGGATATTTCTGAAATGAAAATTTTTATACTTAAGTTTTCTTTGATAAAAATGGAAATTAATATTTATGTGATTTGGAATCCTTTTTATTCAGTTTTAGTTATTTTAGAAAAAAATATGGATAAGATATCAATGTGATAAATTTTTTAATATTCATTACTCATTTGTTTTATTTAAAATGTATGTGACGAATTCTCTATCATCATTTCACTTTCACACTAAGAATGAATTGCTTGTTTTTATATTGCATGAAAACGTTGGTTCATTTAATCAATGTGAATTTGTGAACTTATGTATGTTGCATTTATGTGAAATCAATTTTTTCAAGTTGCTATTCATTTACAATGCCCTTATTCATTTTCTAGCTATTTTTTTCTCCGTAATAAAGTAGGTTTACAATTGTTTAAATTATTAATTTAACAAATTGCTATGATTGTGGTTAAATTATTATAATAGTTTAGTTTTTTACTTAACAATTTAACAATACGCAAAAAAATATAATTCCATTTTTTTAAACAAGTTTTATTAACATTATTTTGTTATATTACTATTTTAGAACTTGTAAGACTTTTTGCTCAAATTAAAACATCGATTTAATGTGGTATTATTTCAAGAAATTTTTATTCAATCAGTACTTATTTAAAATTCGTACAGAAAATTAGTGCAATGGAAATATTATTTATTGTCAAGATTTGCTTTTTCTAGAACAGACTTATGCTTAACAAGCATTAAGCTCCTAACTAGAAATATTTTCAAAATCTTATATTGTAAGACTTATAAATTTTTAGTACCACAAACATTGTGGTTCTGTTATAAAATTACAGTTATTCTTTAAACACGGACATCTTAAAAATAATTCATGACTTCTAAAAATATTATTTTCCTGAAAATACCATTGTAAATTATAAATTAAGTAAAAAAAAACTATTACAATAATTTGTACAGTACAGTAATTTGATCAAAATGATTTTATGCATCTATTTTGTGCTCAATATATGGTTGTATTTCACGCATTTTATAATTGTTGAGTTTGAAATATCTATATAATTTTTTTTAACAGTGGATAAAAATTAAAAATGATTTAACACATACAGCACAAGCTCAGCTTTATGAGCTTCCTCAGTGATATATAGCCGTTCATTGTGCAAATCGATTAACTTCTCTTTTAGAAAGATCTTAAATTTAAGGGTCAAAACTCTTAATTCAATCTTATTTTTTAATATTATGATAAATTTCCCAAACATTAAAGATTTACAACCGGCATAAAATATTTTATTGAAAATTTATTTATATTTGATGAGAAATTTTAGAAATTAATGTACATTATTTCAAGGCATTTTCCACTTTTTAAACCGAGATAATCAATTTGTGCAATGTATGACTTCTTTCATATACAAACTGTGTTCTAATTTTTAATTGCTTCCAATATTATTGAAATATTTACTTCTATATGTCTTATTATGACTGGAGATTTGTAAATACACAAAAAAATATGTAATTCTTTGTGCGTGGTCAAACTATCCCACCAATTATTGAAATTGTGTCTTGTGCCAAATTTTCTTGATTTAAGTTTCAAAGATTTAAACATATTCTTAAGTTAGATTTTATGAAAAGTTATTTATTGAATGTTTATATTTAATTAACTGTTTGATAGCATTTAATGAATAGTAAATGTTTTTAAGTAAATTTTATTAAATAATGTTTATAATTAATTTTATTAAACTATTAATGTTTATAATGAGAATCACAAATAAATATATTAAGGGAAACAAAAATTACAAATGCTCATTTCATATTCAAAGATTATTTGATTTTCTCCAGGAAATCAAATGTTTTTTTTAATATGTTTTAATTTGTTTTTAATGTGTTTAATTAGTATGTTTTTTAAATATGTATTTATTTTAAAAACTATACAAAAATTCAGTTTGCTAGTATAGTTAGTATATTTGACGTTAACAAATGGTTTTTATATGAGTAACTAATGTTAATCTATTTATGTGTTTGTTAAGTAGAAGGATAATATGTTTAAAATATTTTTATATATTTGATTGATAGAAGTTGATATTGTATGTTTTATTTGTTCTTCAGTGTGTCAAATTTTTATGAAAGTGGTTTGCCAAATTTTGCACAGTTTCAGTCAAATAAAAATATATTATTTGAGGAGCGCATATGCATTTCGTTTTCTGTGTGTAAAATGTTTTTCTATAGCATGTTTATGTATTTTTGTGTTACATCTAGTCTGGATTAATTAAAAATAAAAATCATGATTTACAATTGCGAGCTTTTCCTTTGAGTGAAAAATTTAACTATGCACATTGGGGAAATAAATCAGCACTCCTAGCTTTTGTTTTATGACCTAATATTAAAACAATAAATTGTAATCTTTATTGGAATGATATTTTAGTTAAATCATGTAGAAAAGCTAAATTGGGAAATTACTTATAGTAAACAATAAAACTTAAAATGTCTGCTGTGCCTATTTCTGATCTAAGTTTATAAATTTAGGACAGTTATAAATTTTACTTTTTCTATGAGGTCAATAGTTTTCTATGCTTTTTGTAGTGTAAAATTTTGTCATAATGAGTTAAATTTGCTTAAAATAATTTACATTAGGTTTTATAATATCTGCCTCAGAGCCACAGTGACTCAGAGGATAAAGCACTCACCTTCACCTGCCAATGGGGGGGCCCAAGTTCAAATCCCAGCGATGGCTGGCTGATACGAATTCTGCTCCCAGTTCGCACCGACAACAGTGCCAACATAAAATATCATCTCCTGTAGACAGATCATGGGTTAGAATCCCCTTTCTGGTGGGCTAACCATGGAAGGTTTTTATGGTTTTCCTCTCCATTCAACACCCAAATGTGGTTTAGTTTTATCAAAAAGTTCTCTGCTAAGGATAGTTTGTTCTAGTGCTTGATTCAGGAGTCTCATCATCAAAATTACAAAGCTACAGAGTTGAACATTAATAGGTGTAAATTCAGAATTGGGTCGGCTGTTCCACACCTGTGATAAAATATCTGCCTCAAAACAATTTTAGGTACTAAAAAGAACCTTAGACCAAAAAAATTTTGAAGTAAATAGTATTATTTTCATTCTTTAGAATTGAATCACTGATACATGGCATTTGCATTGGAAATAAAATAGAAAAGAAATAGGTGCCTTTTTTTCTAAGTTTGAGTAATTTTAGTATTTGTTAAGAAAAAAAACGTAAGTGAAACCTAAAAGCAAAATAATTATTTGACAATTCAAACCTTGATTTGTATTTTAAATATTTATAATTTTTAATATTCTTCCATCTTCTGTTACATTTTCATCTGAATTATTTTTATGTACAGTGCGAGAAATTAAAAAAAGGACCATCCTGATTAACTTTTGATCTGATGATCAGATCTTGACGTTCTAGGTCTAGATCTTAATGGTTTGAGGGGGGTGACCTCAAATATGCTAACTAATTTAGTGCTGAAGATATTTTAAATTACAAAATCAGACACAAAAACTTACTTTCTCTAAATAAACATACCCTTTTTTCAACGGAATCGGATTTTTGACCCTCAAAATGTAGGGGATAACCAAAAGTATGGTCCCCATAGTTTGGTCAAGAGAATGATCCACAGTTTAATTTTATTTTTTATGTTAATTTTATTTTTTGCTTATTTTGCCATATCTCGAGACCTTTATAAGCGAATTGAAAAACCTTTGCACAGAATTATTAAATTCGTTTATCCAAAGATAAATCCATGCTGAAATTAAATTTTAGTAAATATTTACTATTTTTTATTATTTTATTTAGCAATAGTCAAAATAATGTTGAATGTGAGTAACAAAATTTTTTACATTTTGAAGTATCTAATTTTAGATGGCAAAATACGAAATTTGAGCGATATCGGCTGCATAGTTCCTGAGAAAACAAATTTTAAAAAAGACGTATATTTTAAATTTTATTTCTCAGGAACTGTTCAACCGGTTTCGCTCAAATTTTGTATTTTGCCGCGTAAAATTAGATACTATACCTTATAAATCAAAAGTTTTACGACTTTTATTAATTAAAATAATAAAAAAATAGTAAATATTTACTGAAAGTTATTTTTTGCATGGAATTATCTTCGGATAAACGAATTTTATAATTGTGCAAAAATTTTTCAATTCACTTACAAAGTTCTCGAGATATAGCGAATTGCGCAAAAAATAAAATTCACATTAAGAGGTCAAACTATGGGGACCATATTTCCCAGATTTTGTCTATCCCTTATATTAATAAGTCAAAATCCTAATCTTTCTATTAAAGGTATGTTTATTCAGAGAAAGTACTTTTTAGTGTTTAATTTCCTAACTTAAAATATCGTCTGATCAAATTAATTAGCATATTGAACCCTGGAGCTGTTAAGATTGAGTCCTAGAACATGAATCATTAGATCAAAAGTTATTCAAGGTGGTCCGATTTTTCTTTAAGACTCACTGTATTACACACAGTTGTAGATCTAGCTAGCAAAAGGATAGCTAAAGGCAGAGGGATAGTTTAAATGTGGATTTTTCAAATTTGTTCTGTAAAACTTTTTTTTCAACATGTATAACTTTGAATATTTCTTTGAAAAATACTTAACATGGCTTGAAATAGAATGTTCATTTTAGCTAAAAATAGCATTTAAAGATGGAGACAAAAATATGCTATAGAAATATCCACTACCAAATTTGCATTACTTAGTTTTTACATCACTAGTTTTAGCCATGCCATTATTTAAAATAGTAAAACATACTTTTTGTAATAAACATAAAATAAGAATAGTTAACGAAATTATTTATAGAACATTCATATTTGATCAACAAAAATTCTTTTGCCTGGCTAAAAAAAAGTAATTGTTTTAAGAGCATTTTCAATTTAGAAAAATAACTTTATTAAATGATTTCACGACTTCACAAAGAAATCATTAAAAGGAATTAAATTTATTAATTTGCTATGAGGTAGTAACACGCCATTAAAAGTAATCATTCATACAAAATACATTTGTTATACCACCAATAACATTTATAACTAGTTTACTAATTAATCAGCAGTTAAATCTGGATTATCCATGGGCATCTGATATGCGCGTTAGCTCTAGAAAAAGTATTACAGTACAGTACCCGTTATCCGGAAATCAGAAAACCGGAACGAAATTCGATAAATTTTCCAGCCATTTTTTAAAAAAAAAAAATTTTTTTTCCTCATAAAAATTCTAGGATTTTTCTTTCCTTTTTGAAAGATGTTTACTTTACCATCATTTTGGAAATAATCATTAATGTATTACTTCATCGTTTTTTCTTCTTTTTAAGATTATTTCCAAATATTATTTTTTTTCATTTGGATTTAACAATAAAAAAACGGCTTTTTGTAGCGATTCAGAAAACCGGAAAAATCAGTTATCCGGAATAGCGATGGTCCCGATCGTTCCGGATAATCGGTTCCCTACTGTACCATAATGCAATAATAAATATTAGCATAACTTTCAACCTAGGAAAAAATCCAGTAGATTCTACGAAATATAAATTTTATGATAACTCTTACAAAATATATACTAAATATTTTACATATAAGGAATTTTTATAGTCATCAAAATACAAAACTTTATTACACTAATAACTATAAATGGTCTTCAATATTTACCATTTATGATCGACATTAAATGAACTTGAAACGTTTTTTATTATGTTAACTTATAATTTTTAAAAGTAATAGACAAGTAATTTATTATTGATGGTTAAAAGATTTTTTAGTTAGTTTAAAAAGGGAGTTCTGTATAAAAATAAATTTAAAATTTCAGAGCAAAAAGGAAAGCTTTAAAATTATTACTATAAATAATGGCTTGGTTCATTATGTATTAGTAATATTAATTTAAATATTCAAGTAAGTAATAAATTGAGTAAAAATTCTATTTCAGTGGGAATTCTTTTTTAGGAAACTTACTCAATTTTAGGAAAGATTCTAAAATGTACAAAATCCAGGAGAATTTTTATTAAACCAGTAGAAACTCCAGTTGTCCACTGGTAAATCCAGTAGAGTTGGCAGCTATGTATTAGTGTTTTGTGCAAATAAGATTATTTCCAGGTGTGATTTTGCCTTTAAAAAAGTTTTACCCTACGTTTTGTTGCAGATTCTAAAATCTTTCTATTCCTTTATACATTAGCTGTGGGTAGCCCCCCTCCAATGTCAAAATATTTTCAGCATAGTTTTCTGCATTAGATATTAAAAAAAAAAAATTCTTTTTACTATCTCCATCCAACTGAATTTTACATCTCAATTATCCAAAGCATTTGTTTTTATGTAGTAAGTGCACCACTCTATTGTGGTATCTACAGTATTTAACAAGATAATTTGCATATTGAAGTTTAATTTTTACGATTAATTACCAGCACATCACCGGTTATTAATGCTAACCATTTTAAATGGTCACAGGCTTTTGAATTTTGTCAGACAACCAGTGTTCTACAGAACATTGAATAAAAATCCCATATCTAACTTCAAATATGTCTTTTTAGGTCCAAATAGTTAAAATACAAAAAGGAATTAACATTTTATGAAATTTAAAAGCGATATAATGAATTTTAATTTTTTTTATAAGGAAATTATTGGAAGGAAAATTTGATTTGGTGTTAGGAAAATTAAATAATTTAATTACTTTCCCTAATTTTTTTAATTTTATTTTTAACCATGCTGATCCTTAAGAATGTATTTTCTTATGTTAAATATACATAAAATATAACTCTCAAATAATACTTTCATTAATAATATTAAAATTGTTTTAGAATCATATAACAACTTACAAAATAAAGAACAGTCCATAACTCAAAATGTGCCTTGGCATACCATATTTCATGAAATAAAACTTTAAAAAACAATTCTAAAATTTGCTCCTTAAGTAATTCAGAAAATCGAACCGATGGAGCATATTCATACTAAAACATAAAAAAATTGCTTTGATGATACATTTTGTTTTTCTTACAAAAAAAAGCAAATAGTCAGTTCGGCAACTGAAAACATTTATAAAATCATTTACTTAAAAAATTGTGTTCGTTATTTTGATATTTTTCTAATAAAATAAAGACACATTGGGATATCTTTTTAATAATTATTTTACCACATTCGTCTGTAAGTTATTCAAACATTTCAAATCTGATTTTAACATATTTATATTTTTTAAAAGAAAATGTGAATGAGTATTCCAATACATAGTTTCTGGTTAGTAAAACTATGTATTAACAGAATTAATAAAATTATCTACTATTTTGTGTTATAATTTACTAAATGTACCGCATAATGCGTATATTAATATATAATCGTTTGTGTATGGTTGAGAATAAGAGCCAACATCATTTTAGTACATAACTTTTAATATTTTTTCTTTAATCATTACATAAACAAATTAGCGTACAAAAGAAAAACATTAGTCTATGACCAGCAACATATTTTTTGCAAATATCTTTGTGTCCTTTACCAGCAGTGACTTCAACAATAGTCACATTAGAAAGATAATTTTACATATGTATATATATTTTATTATTGGCATTGGAATTTACTATCAATGGAAGCGTAAAAGATTCCTGGCAAAAACAAAATCACAGACCATTCCAGTAAGTTTGACTTGATAACCTTAAGCCCAAGTCCTTCCCTTACAAGCCTAAGGCACCTCAATATGAGCAATGAATCGAACCTTATAAAAATAACTAAAGAACTTTAAGCAAATAACTGAAAAGTTAGCATCATTTAAATATTTATACATTTCTTTAACAGAGGTAATTTACAAATGTAACACATGAAACAAATTGCCTAATTACATTTAAAGAAGTTTTTTGCATCTGCTTATTCTGATAAAATTTCTTAAAAAATATTCTTTTGCTCTCTAATACTAAAAGCTCTTTAACTTCAGCGGTCAGTAATTGAAAAAGAAAATCAATAATAAAACAGTGTACCTTTCTAAAACCAAAACATATGGGCATGATTTTAAAGCTACGGCTATACTTCCTAAATCCCTCAATATTTTTTATAAGAGAAAAAATTAAAAAAAATTTAATTAAAATTTCCTTTTTAATTGTAATGATGCTTAATACATTTAGAGTTTGAATTCAAAACTGAAGAGGAAACAAAAATCATTTACAATGCTCAACACTAAACTAATTCTGAGTTTACTTTTAATGTAAATTCTTTGCATATTAAAAACAAATAGGAGATAATACTGGTTTCACTAACTTTGCATTTAATCCATTCACAGTAACTTAAATCTGATAAGGTATAAAGAGAAAAAAAACTTCAGACACATCAGAAGTTTTACTCTTCATTTAAATTTTTTCAATTATTAAGTAATTCAAAGGGGGCTAATTGGTTGAACTACAGAAACTCTTAGCTTTTCACAACAAAATTAATCAAAATAAAATAATAATAAATCCTTTTTATACCTATTATGTTTTCTTTCACTTTCACCGTCATTAACGGAACATTTGAAAAACTCCATACTCAAATTTTTAACATGCTTGGATTTTTTAAATTTTTTTTTTTTAACATTGACTTTACACACTTGTTTATGCAATTCATTTTAAACTAGTGATGTGACAAATGGTTCAGATCTTGCAATCACAAAAATTCATAAAGGAGCTAGAAAAATTTAATTTAAAAATAATAAATTACTAAGCTTTTATTGTTAGTGAATTTTTTAAAGCAATAAGTGAACTCCTGTACTTGACCAATTTGCAAATACATCTGAATTATTCAAAAAATTATTACAAAATTAATTGGTCTATTAAAACTACTTCAAATAGGTTAAGTAAATATAATAATCCCGAATCTCAAGTAATACAGTTAAATATATTATTCTTATACTGTCATTGAATCATGGCAAAATAAAGTCAAATAACTTTTTCAATTACTTCCATTTCCCGATTAAGAGAACACTATACCGCATGAGAAATTTCTCTTTCACCTCCATAGCTAATTCAAAAATTAAAGTATTGAAAAAGTGGGTACAAGCAAACCTAGTGTGGGCCATGTAGTTTCAATTGGGTATACTATAGCCTACGTCACAGGTTGTGTTATTCCTACTAAATTTAACCCATGAACGGCATTTTCTGCGAGCCTAACTTCAAGCCACAAATAAACAAACGAAGTGTTTGATCGTTTAAATAGCTGCTCGCCAGATTTTATTGCATTATAAAGGAAAGTAATTGATATTCGATTTTTGATTAATAATTGATTTATGTGGATAGTAGCATTTATGTGGATAGTAGCATTTATTTATGTGTCATAGAATTTAGCATTGCGTCATGGTAAATGTTATTCCTACTAAGTGGAAGTAGTTGTGTTTTTTTTATATTATACCTAATTGCTAAAGTAAAATTTCAAAATGCAAACAAATTATTGGAAGAGAATTATATAACCCTAAGTCAATTGTGTAACCCTAAGTTAAGGATCCTCTCACAATTTGTTTTCATTTTGAAAATTTCTTTTCAGTATTTAAAACTTCATGGCATACTCTAGGTTTGCTTGAACTCATTTTTCGTACACTTTAAATTAGTTAAGGAGGTAAAAGAGAATTTGTGATGACGGGTTTCTCCTGTGGCTTAGCATCCTTTTTAAGATAACTACAATATAGTTCAAATTATTTTTATACTTTCCTTTATTATTTAATAAAGATAATTAAAAAAATATATTTGGAGATTACTAAGTATTCAACATTGTTATTAATTTTTAAAGCATTTTTGGAATTTCTTGGTAATATCCCGTCAAAACTTCTTTCTAACAAGAGAATAATGCAGAAATTAATATTATTTTTTCCAAAGAGACTGATTATCTCATTATTTACCCTTTGCAATTCAAGCAGTTTTCATACAAAATTTCAACCTTCAGCAGTTAAGATCATTGTACAAATCGTTGCTGGATCATTAATCCAGCTGAAATAAAAATAAAATAAAGATGCTACTGCAATGATGATACACAAACTCTGCAGAATTACTGTGCAATAGTTAGACTGATAAAACAAAAATGTCAGGGTATAATGAAATTAAATTTCATCCACTGAGGTTACAAAATTGAATCTATAAATATGAATTGAATCTATAAATTTCATACTTGAAATATTTATTATGAAACATTGCTAATCTGTTAAGGGATTATACCTAATGGTAAAAAAATTCATTTCTTTTTATTGTGCAATCTAAAATCATATTGATTCAAAATTACTAAGTCAAAATTTCAAGTCAATATGATGTACATAAACAAAGTTATGCAGGTAATTATTTATGACAACGTAAATATAACTTCAAATGCCATAAACTCAGAAACATGTTTTTAAAATCTGTCAATTTCTCAGGTTCTGTACAAATGATTTAATTTGTTTGTTTGATTTTTTATGTTCAGTAAAAACATTTTAAGTACTTGACAGATAAGATTTTTTTATAAAATTAAATTAGATTTCTCACAATCAAAAATAAAAATAAACAAAAAATAAACTTTTATTGTAAAAAATTGGAATCTAAAGATTATCATTTTGTTACATTTTTTGCATTGAAACTAGTTATTATTAATGAAAGCTTACTGTAATTATTCATTTTTAAATTCTTTTTCTTGTGTTGATGTTTTAAATCACCTTTGTCTCGAAACAACTGTTCTAAATAAAAAGTCCAAGATTTTTTCAACACTAAAAACTATAAAAATTATTTTAAGGTTTTAAAGATTATGACTAACTGCAAAAAAAAAAAAAAACTATTTAGCAAATGCTTATTTTCTAACAAATTGGATAGTTTTTATTTTTTAAAAAAAAAATCTTGGAAATAGGTATAACTTTTTACTCTTGCAAATCACAAGAAAGAGTGACGAAATTTAACCAATATTTTCATATTTTAGTAAACTAACATATGAACTTAAAAAGTTAACAGAATCTTTATTAAAGGAAAAAGAGAGAGAGAGAAAGTGGAAAGTCATCCAACTAATAATTAAAAAGTTCCTTTCCCAAAATGGCACAAAGGTGGAGACAAAGATACATGTAACTGAAATATTAATCACAACTAAAATAACTCCAATTTACAGAAAGCGTAAATCACTAAACAAAAACTAAATGCACTTAAACGATAACATAAACAGGCTTTCAACACATCAACATAAAAAACATTTTATAATCTTATTACGTTCTTAACATATTATTAGGAGGAATGGTAAGCCCGCCATACTAACGATGTATACGTGTTGGTCTCTAACCAGCAGGCCAACTAAATTTGATGAATATGATTTTAATGAACTTTCCATTAAAAAAACATGTACCTTAAAGTGTATGGATTGAAATATTCATGAAATGCTTCGCAGCACCGTGGAAAAAACGGCATCACACATTCATGTCCGTTACACAAACAGCAAAAGAAAATCAGAAAGTATTAATACATTTGAAAAGAATAAAACAACATATCTGCTTGCACTATTTTCAAGTTATAAAACCCTTAGGAAATTTCAAATAGCAAAAATGTTTGGCACCTGTTTAGATTATTTTAATTCAAATCCATCATTAAGCCTTATTTACAGTTCAAATTGATACATAGGAATATAAAAAATACTCAAATATTTATTGCCCCTTTATAAAAAGAAGCAATAAAATTAATTAATAATCATTCAGTATAACCACCCAATAACATTTCATTCATAAATTTCAAGAACAATCTAGTAAAACTTATATTATTCAGGTGTTGACAATTTTAATGATTAGTTGATTAATGAATAACCCATAAATGCTAAACCTGCTCAGGACCAAGAACAGGTTTGCGTTATGTATCAATTATCTTTTCACAGGTCTTGGTATCACATAAAAGACATGCCTTTCCAACTCCAGGAATGATTTCATTCTGGAAAATTTTGTTTCAACTTTTTAACAACAGTAGATGGCGGTTGTAATCCGTTATAATTTTGAATAATATCTCACAGTATGCGTGTTCAGTTCCGAATTTTTATTTTTTAAATTTGATCAGAGCTATTTAAAAATGTAAACAGTTGTGTGAAACTCCTTCAAGAAGACTGGGATGGAGAATTACAGAACTCTGGGGGTTTTGTTAATTGATGGACTAGGGAAAAGATGGAATGCTTAATGGAATTTTGTATGTTTTAGGTCATTTTTACAACCTTTTTTTTAAATATTGAGAACATTTTATTGCAATATATTTAGAAACTATTAATGATAATAAACTGCAAATTTCTGCATTTAAATTGCAGTAATTATATTGTAAGAAGTTTTAAATAAAATTGGGATTAACAGGGAAAATTGCCTGGTCATAAGCAATTATCTTTGTCCACTCTCGGAGTGCATGGGCTTGGTAAAGTGTTTCATTCTCTTTTCACTGATTCTGATCAGGTTAAGTTGAGTTCTACTTAAACTGTTAGAAGTTCATTTAAAATGGTTACGAACAACAAAGCAATCGAAAAAAAAGGAAAATAAATATTCTACTCAGCAATTTGAGGTCAGTTAATAAAGAAAAACTAAATGGGCTAAATAATTAATTTTTACATATGATTTATTGGTTTTACAAAATTGTTAGCCAATATACCCTAATCAAATAGATAATCAAAGATACTCTTTTTGTATATCATAAATTCACTGGATTTGCAAAAACAACTTTGGTAGCAAATTTGATTATCATCCATGTAGGTGGCATATATTAAATTATTGTATGCCTCTGATAAAAAAGAATGACAAGCAAAACTTAATGTAAACCCATTTGTTAAAATAAGGGCAAAGATAGAAAGAAAAACCAGAAAACCAGTGGCGAGCTTTGGTAATCTAATTTCTATATATTTTTAATTAATTTAACGTGTGTATTAGAAAAGCACAAAAGACAAAACATAAATGAGTAGAAAAGATAAAATAAGAGCAAGGATAGGAGCAGTAGTAAGAAATAATATGTTTTCTCACCAATTACAATTTCGTAGCACACATATCCCTGTGCCCATATGAACTTATTTGATGTTATGCATTAATGTTTAGTTGCATTAGATAAGTATTAAATGTTTAATGTTTTAGAGGACTTTGAAGAAAAGACCTGGATAATGAATAAGTAAATTTTGATATTTATGAAAGCCAAACAAAAAATTGGAGGTCTATTTTATTAGTTTTTTTTTACCACAAATTAAAACAAAATTAAACAGACATTTTAGTAGGATAAATGAGTTTTCTCCTTCAACATTGATGTTAAAGGAGAAAATAAGCACTGAGGGGTTTTACTGAATGTACATGTAACCAACAGTTGTTAAAAATTTCAATTAACAAATTTGAAGAAAACAATATTTTAATTATTAAATTCATAAAGTTGTATAGATTAGTTAAAAAAAACAATATAAATAAAAAAATCGATAACAATAAAAACATTTTCAAATCAATATCATTTTTAAATCAATATCATGCATCGTTAAATTATGCAAAATAAATTATTTTAATCACCAGGTAGTATTAAGTGTTTAAATTTTTTTTAAATATGTTTCAACTGATCAAACATTTTTATAATAATTTTTTTCAAAAGAAGGAAATGGTATAAAAATGAAGCACAAATTATAATATTCTATAATACAATGCTATACAGTAAAAAAAATATGTAGCTAAACCTAAATAAACAAATAAAAAAAAACTTAATGTTATTCACAAAAACTGGCAAGTAAAAACACAAAAGGATTAAAAAAAAAAGTATATTTTACAATATTAGCCCTTTTGAGTCTAATAAACATAATTATGCTCCAGATTTTTCTTTTAATACCACCACATAGTCCCAAGAAAGGGCAATTTATAAAAAAATCAAAAGTTTAGAAAATTTAATAAAGGATTCAACATAAGAAAAAATAAATTCCTTAATTGATAATCACCATAAAGATTCATTTACAAAAAATTTATACGGCGAATCAAACTTACCCTAAAATCAAATTTCAAAAAACGATTCACCATCAAATCAAATATATTAAAGTAGTATTAAAAAAAAACAATAGAAAGAAAACTTGAGCATAAAATAGTTATGAATATTGTTAGATTGAATTTACATTGAAGCTTATCACAAATTTCAGCCATGGTATCTCTTCACACTTTAACCCCAAGCTTAATAGAAAGTATCTGACGGTGTTCGAAAATCATTGTCCAGTGAGAACATGTCAAAAGTTTCTTGACCATTGTCCATTGAAGATAGTAAAGGATCACTATTATAACTAACACTTCTTGGTTGATTGGAATTAGCAACAGTATTGTTATTTGTAAACATATCCAACCATTCACTAATATCAACATCCATATCGACATCTCCACTTAGAGTATTTTGCACTGATTGTTGTTGATGCAATGATTCATGCAATGATTCAGGTTTAGAAAATGGCATCTGCGTCGGTGAATCGAGAGAATCGTTATTTTCCAAGACACCAAGATCCATCATGCCCAGGTCTTGTAAATCAACATTTAAATCAAAAACAAGATTTGGCACACCTTCTTGTTGTGAAGTATAATTTTCAATTTTGATAGGTAAAGATGTACTTTTCTGTTCTGCTTCTGATGATTCTGGTTCAACTCGAACAGATTTTACATCAATGATTGTAGGGAAGAGTGGAGGACCCAAAGGAACATTTTTTTGAGTTTCTGGAGTGGTGGGTGTGACAGGTTCTAATGCAGCACTTGGTGGCAATTCTACAAAAAAATAGTATATAGTTTTTATAAAGAAAATGATTGATTAGAAGAGTGTGGTACAAAGTAAAAATTTTATTAGAACATCATTGATTAGTAGCTTTCTGAGTAATACTTTACAAAATGAATGAATCCTGCAAAAAGGTAACAAGTTCTTTTTTATAATAAAAAAAATTCTTTTTGATGAAATGTTAATATTTTGAAATGTCCAATAACTTTTGAAACTGTCTCAAGCAATTAAAATTCAAAATTTCAAAAATTTAGGTAGGTAGCTAATTTATTTATATCGCACTAGAGCTGCATAATAGGCTTATTGACAAAAGTCTGGGAAACATTCCTGAGGATGATCTGAAAACATGCCATCACAATTTTAACCCTCTGTAGAGGAGATCCCATTTAAGAGTCCACTTTCTACATTCAGACATAGATCTGAAGGGGAAGAAAATTTTTCTCAAGATTCGTGTACACATGATACTGCTCAGTCACAGACCACAGAACTTTCCGCTCCACGAATTTTACAAGCACATATATCACATGTACTCAGTGGGTTTTAGCGGAGTCGAGGATAGAGCCCCAACCCCTCCGGAACAGGAGTCCAATTCTTTAACCACTGGGCTATCACGGCCCTCAAAAATTTAGAACCAAGGCCATTTTTTCTATCTAGCCATTCAACTGCATGTAAAGTTGAGTACAGAGAGGGAATGTTTTGGTACTATGATAGTTTTTAACATTAACCATGGATAGAGCTGTCATATCAAAAACCCTTTATTCAATACCAACTGAAAAAACATCAGGTATATCTTTCAAATTGTACTTTTTCTCTCTCTGGAAATTCTATAGTCGAAGCGAATTAATTTTGTTCATAGAAAAGTTGCATATAGATTAAGAAAGAAAAAAAATAATAAAATCTTGTTCACAAACTCATAAGATTTTAAAACTCTGCAAATAATAATTTTATTAATAATAAATTTACGATTTTCACAATTTCAATTTAAGATTAATACACTTGTTTTGATTTTGTTTAAAACAGCTTAACAGTATTGGAAAATTAGAAAAATTATATATTTTTTTTCATAAATAAAATATCCAATATAAAGAAAACTTCGTTATAGAGTACAATACATAGTTGAGCTATAATCTATGTATTAAATATATGTATCTAAAAATAAATATTTCCTGGTTCTGTAAGGGTTATAGCAGTTTAAAAGTGTGTATAAATATAACTTTATAATTATATAGATTTTTTTTCTGGTCCAGCATTGTGCCAATATATTTTTAAAGCTATCACATAATCAAAATTAAATACCTACATAAATATTATTTTAATAAGACTATAAATTACCTGTGACTGTTAGGAAAGCTAAGTATATGACATTTACATAATTATGAAAGAAAAATTTTTAAATTCTATTCATTAATAATTTTTTTCAAGGCAAATATTTTCTAGAAAGCTTAGCATGTATTTTAGTTGGTTTCTGAGGTAAAAAATACTGTGAGGACTTCAATTTTGAAAAAATCCTTTTATCCACTCCACTTACCTCCCTTTTTTAAACTACCTAATAATCCTCTAGATTTAAAACGAAAACGAATATCTTACAATGTAAGCTTAAGAGCATTTCAGTGAGATAATAAATTATAAGTATAGAAACAATGTAAAAGGATAAATGAATGAAAAAATCTATTTATAAGCATGCTGTACCTCCATTTTTTATTAGTACACCTAGAACATCATCCACTTCTTGACTTTTAACAGATTTTTTGCGATTTTTTGTGTTAGACTGCTTTTCCTGCAATAAAATGTTTAAATATTAATTTCCAATAATTAGTTAACATTGAATCTAAAGTAACAGAAAATATTTCATACCTGTTTTACTTTGTTTTGAGGTTTAACAGCTTCACTGTAGTCAGGAGGAGCTTTCTGTATTAGAAGTTTTGGCTCAACAGTTCTCAGGGTCATTTTTGGTACAAGGTTAGAAAAGTTAGGTACAGATGTAGACCTGAAAAAAATTAAACATTGACTTTAATTATTAAAAATATTAATTCAGCAGAGATGCAAACTTGTTCCGGATGGCGGATAAATATTTTTAAGTGGTAGTCCTTTAATATATGATCTTTGGTTTAGTCTATTTTATTTGTAGGGTTCTTACTCTTCTAAATCAGTGGTTACCAACTGGTGGCCCGAGAAGCTTATTTTTGTGGGCCGCAAACTACAATATACTAGTTGTCATTTTTCTGAGAACAATTTTCGCAAAAATCTATGTTGGTTTAAAATACTTTTCTTTCGTGAAAAGAAAACCCCAATTTCTTCGTTTCTGTGAAATTCAACATGCCAACGGAGCAAAAAAACTTATTTCTCAAGTTTTGCATCCAACAAAAAATTTATTCAAATACAAAAATAATCATGTATGTCGTCCTTGTTTATTATTATTTATTCTTATTTTTTTTTGCATTTTGTGAATATAATTTAGTTTCTGATTAAGAGAAGATTCAAAATGATACATAATGACATTATTTGTAATGCTTGTTATTTTGTTTTTTAAATTTAAAATAAACTTTATATTTAAAAGCAAAATACAATTCTTATTTTATTAAGTTTCCATTGAAATGCAAGTACACTTCCTCGGTCCCTGCTGCAGGGGCCAATGAGTGTCAATTGTGTTACCCATCTGTTGCACATTAATTGTTTAATACATCGGTGCACATTAAAGTTATAGTAGCCAGAATTTTTTAAGATGCACTTAAATATTTTTAAAAATCTACTTGTTATTTTAATTTATAATTCAATATTTTTGTTCCGTACAAATTGATAAAAATCTGACAGTAATATTTAATGTTCCTTCAAACATAAAAGAGTCCTATATAAAATTTCGATGAAGTTGCAGCCCGCCATTTGACTGGTGTTTTTAATAGCGGCCCTCGTCCTCATGTATGTTGGAAACCCCTGTTCTAAACAGTTCAAAGGCTTATGTGATACAGCACTTTGTTACAGTTAAGCTATGTTTAACCTTATAAAAACTCGAAAAGTTGTCGACAATCTGCAAATTTTAGTTTGTAATTCTCTATCAGTTTTTTAAAATATTTTGCGAACCTAGAAGTTGGCGTTTCTGATTCAGATACAATCAAATTTAATTATCTTTTGAATTCTTCACAAATAATTCATTTGATTTCAATTTTTTAATTTTAACAATAATGAAAGAAAAAAATCATAAGAGAGAAAAAATATGATACATACCAAACCAATTTTTGTTGTGCTAATCCATTCGGTACAGAATTGGCTCTTGGTTTCTCAAGAATCTGAGGCACTGCTTGAGCTTGACACAATACAATGGGTTTCAAATTGGCATATTGGGTGATATTTTGTTGATTTAAAGTATCTATTCCATTAGGTAGACGAATAGAATTTGCTTGCTGATTGTGAATATGAGCAGCAAGATTTGCTTTAACAATAGCAGATTTGGCAGCAGAACCAGGTGCATATTTTCCTATGAGAAAAATTTATTATTTACACATGAACACACATATACACTATATGCTATATTTTATACATGGCGCTTACAATGATTATTAATCTTTTACAGTCAATTTTTTATTTTCAAATTAATCTTTTATAAGCAAATATAGAGAAAGCCCCAAGTTTAATTTAACAAAATTAACTAAGGTCAACATACTGAAGAAAAAAGTATGTCTTCATTGTCATAAGTTTCAATTAATTACACATCAAAACTGACTAATAAATCTAGTTTTTTTTTTCCTTCTAAAGGAAGTAAGCAAAAATTTATAAATGGAATAACTCAGCATTATCATAATTTCACAAAGAGTTATGAAATTAATGGTTTGACAGGCCTATCTAAGATACCTTACGAAGTAATACTACAAATTGTATACTTTATCCTTATATACAATACATATCTTGTTTTTAATGACAAACATAAGGGGCTAAAACATTTTTACTATTGGAAAAAAGAGATTCAACAGTTCAGTCAAGAGAGAGAAGTCAAATTTGAAATCTATATATTATTTTTACTCTAAACATTTCCCCCATATTTTTTGAACTAATTATGAAATTATATATGTTCTCACTATGTTATGACGCATAGCTTTCTTTTTATGTGAATTTCTTTTGATGACAAACATGAGGAGTTATAAAAGACACACTATAACATCTGAATATGTTGTATCATTAATATCAGAAAATAGAGATACAGTCAGGAGAGCTAAATAAAGTTTGGACTCTAAACATTATTTTTACTTTTAACATTTTCCTTATATTTTTTGAACTAATCATAATGATAAAAAAAAAAAAATAAAAAAACAGCTAAGCATAAAATTAAACTTCTAGCATATCAACAGATAGCTTAATAGAAAAAATAATTTTTATTAATTACTTGTTATTGAGACCAATAATGTAGAAAATTTTGAATTATAAAATAGGAAAAGTTTCATATCATCTTAGATTGCATATTTTTTTTCTTCATTTCACTGATTTTGTAACTTAACTAATTTAATAATCAAGTACTAAACTGGCAGAAAATTTTTTTCCTTTCCCCTTTATAAGTTCTCTATTTGTCAAAGAGGACAACCAATAACAACTACTCATAAGTAGTCAACTTATACAAGCTTTACTTATACAAGTAAAAAAAACTTTTTCCATAAAATAATCTATGTGCAAAAGACTTCTTTAGGTGTATGCGAAAATGTTTTGATTAGTACAATTAGTTCCAATGAAATACAAAAAGGAAAAGTAACATTAAGAGGTCTAAACATTTTACCACTTATTTTCATTTTCTATCTTAAGGTTCTGAACTCTCTTTCTTCGTTCTCTTTTAAAATTATGGCTACACCAGAGAGATTTTACATGTAAAAATTTAAATCTATTAAATCTATTAAAAAATATTTAATGAAGTTTTTTTATACTAATAGTTAGAAATTACAGCAATTTGCAAAAGTGCAGCGTGCAAGTAAAAATGCAACAAAAAAAAATAAATAATAAATAAATAAATAAAATAAAAAAACATTCATATCATATCATATTAAAAGAAGGATTTCTATTAATATAAGAAAGGACAATATAGATTATAAACATACAAAACTTCAAGCTAAGAAACACAAAATTTGGTTCTATATTAACCCCCCCCAACCTAAAATACAGTAAAAAAATCTATTGAACAATCAATAAGAAGAAAAAGATACTCATAAACTATATTTCAAATAAAAATAAATTGGAAAAATGCAATTTAATTTACCAGCTTGCTGTATCAACTGTTGTTGTTGTATTTTCTGATGTATATGTTGTTGTAATTGTTTCAAAGCTTTGTCAACATTGCCTTGATGGGGTAACGATGCTAATGATAAAGTAGGAATTTGATTTGCTGGAGGAGCAGGTGCAATAGGAACAGGGTGAGATGCCAGCAGAGCCTGCTGCTGAGCTTGTGCTTGTTGTTGCTGTTGCAACCACTGTTGTTGTTGTAACTGCATTTGAGACCTTGAATAAGATAAAATATTTTTAATTTTCTTAATTTCAAACTAAATTAATGTTTCTACAAAATAATATGCTGACAGATTACGGCAAAATTAAACAGAATATAGAAAATTTGATGATAAGAATAACAATAACATTTTAAACGAAACAATTAAGCTTTCTAAAAAAATTTAAAATAAAAAAGCAATAGATATGTTTTAGTATGCATAACATTTTAAAACTACTAACATTTAAAAACTTTCTATTTCAATGCAAAATAATCTTTTATGTTAACAGCTAAATATCTACTTTGATTTATCATATTTTGTAGTTTTATTTGTACTAAAACTAAGTTTTTTACGCTCTATTTTGTCAGTTCTACAGAATTTATATTATTTGATTGAATTATAACAATACTAATGTACAGGGTTATTAAATTATTTACAACAAAATAATTGTTAATGTATAAAAATAGAATTTCTCAGCAGTTGGGGATTAACAAAATAAATATTTTTATAAAAAAATTTCTGCTGCAGTAATATAAGTACCACATTCACGAAAAAGGAAAAAAATATCAATGATCCAAAAGAAAATTAACTTCAATGTGAATATTTTATTTAAGAAAACAAAATAATGATTTAACTTTAAAAAAAAATATTTTTGAAGGTTGTAGAAAATTCATATACAAAAACATTTAAATTTTTAAAGAGTTCGAAAACTTCTCATCTCAGATGCCATAGATTCACGATCCTAATAATGGAATATTAAATATTGGTGTGAAGTCTACTTATTAAAGGCTAGTTATATAACATTTCAATGAAGTCACAACTGGTTGAACACAATAATAAACTTCAATACAAATTAAATACAATTTCAATATTCAAATTCCGACACATCATACTTTCCCTAAAATGTACTCTAAAAAAAGCATTAAACAATAATAAGAACTACCTTTGTAGTTCTCTTTGTAGTTGAAGGATTTTTTGCTGTTGTCTTTTCACAATATCATCATTGATTATATTAGACCCGTCACTACAATCCATAGCATCACAGCTATTATTGATTTCAACATCCATTGGGGCTGCAGAGGATGGCCTCGATGCAACTAACTGTCCTTGAACTGGCAATGTGTTGTACACCATAAGAGTCGGTTCCTCTTTCACAGAAATTTGAGAAGTCCTGTTATTGATAGGCTCAACGGTTACAACAGATGTCATCGCATCAGGTTGAGTTACTAACGTTGGTAATGTATCTAAAATGATACCATTTACATTAATAGGCACAGTTGTGGCTTCCACTTTCACATTGTTCTTATCAGATGATTTATTTCCATTAGCTGTTAGCTCTAAATGGTTTTTCAGGCGCTCAAGTAACTGCACTTTTGATCCTGATACAGGTAGATTTCTCTTTTTTAATTCTGCCTTCAAACTATTAACTAATTGGGAAAAGAAAAAAAACAAATTACTAAACACTTATTACAGTATAGAGAGTATAAAATAATTTGAAAAAAAAAGAAGAAAAAAAAAACAAGAGACAAAGCTTTATTGCAGGGTTGCCAAAAACCCACGGGTGGGGTTTTCTGTGTTTTATTGGGCTTTTCTGGGTTTTTCATGTTTTATTGGAGTTTTTTTAGAAAGAGAGGGCAGGTATAAGTACCTTATTTTAAAAAAGCTTACATTAATAATTAAGTTTAATTTTATGAATTGACTTAACACATAGGTAATTAATAATTAATACAAATAAATTGGTGCAAAAGCCTGAAAAAAAGTTTCTTCTGACATCACGATACAAAATGTTATATGTACTCACATACATCACACAATTAAAACTTATTTCAACACAGGATTACTTTTTATTCATATTTAAATCTTAAAAAATACTTGAGGAATTTTTTTTTTGCATAGAAAGCGAATCAAAGACACTGACTAATCAATGGCCATACAGTCAAATCTAGCCAGCAAGGTGACTGTCAGTCTTTCTTTTCAGATAGTTATTATTTTTTTCACAATAGGTTCATTTTTTTAGGCTAGACTACATATATATTTCAATAGAATAGCTCTTTAATATAACAGAGGATAAAAAAGAAATTAATTTTAGAAAAACCCACTTAAAGGTGGGTTTTACTGGGTAGGTGGGTTTTTTGCAACCCTGCTGAATTGTAATAAGATTTTAAATACATTGATGTGTCAACAAATGAAGTTTTTCCAGAAACCAATTAATTATATTTTTAAAGAAATTTTATTTTCAGTTATTTTAATTCAACTCCAGAAAGTTTTGTGAAATAAAAGCATAAATAATTTGTTAAAATAATTTGCTGCATTTTAATATAAAGAAATGGTTAACATGAATAAACAAAAAAAAAGAACTATGTTTTTATAATTTTTCTACAGTTATTTAAGTAATATACCTTTCATATCTTCAAACTGTTTCATGGAATTCTGGGAAGGTGAAGATGGGGAGTCAAGTTGCTTATCTAAGAGCGAACTTTGACTTACATTGGCAGATTTCGATTGGTCTGATGAAGGTTGCTTAAATAAAAAAATTAAATATGTTATGAGAAATAAGATATTATTTTACTTATAATTAGATAACAGTCTAATAAATACAAATTTATTCATAAAATATTCATAATTTATTCATAATACCTTCAAAAAGTTATCAGTTAAAAGTTTTATTGTACAAATATTAAATTTTATAACTTTTTTTTAAAGAGTCAATACATATTTAACATAGGTAGAATATTTCTACTCCTCCAGAACAATGTATTCGCTAGTATAAAAATATATAACTTATTATTAATAGCAATATTTTTTATAAATGTTTCACAACTTTTCATTTATCCTACTTAACATGCTGATACCTGTTATTCTGAACCACCAGTTATACTAGTCATAAGGAAATGGTAACAAACAACAAAATCAATTTCATGCACTGAAAAAAGAAATTGTTACAGTAAATTTTGAGGAAAAGCATTAAAAGTTGTCAGAAACTTAGTTTTCTTCAATTGTGTAAAAAGAAAAAAANAAAAAAAAAAAAAAAAAAAAAAAAAAAAAAAAAAAAAAAAAAAAAAAAAAACTCAATGAAAACAAATTGGGCTGAGAGCAACAGATTTTTTTCTCTTTAAATATATGTTTGGTAAATATAGTGTTAAAAAGTGAAATTATAAAAACCAGAGAATCTTTTACAAAAAGACAATAATAATATTCAAATTAAATTTTCTATATTTTTGCAGATTAGTTCATGCTTAGTGTAAAAAAGGCAGGTAAAATAGCCGCGTGAATGTGAATTAATACTAACTTTTATTAAGAACTGAAGTTTCCATAAAAAAAATATGAAAAACAGGCACACTACACCCTAACGGAGTAACAGAAAGACAACAAAAAGAAAGAATACAATTGAACAATCTTCATCTCAGACTTAAATACTCTTGTATAACAAAAAAAAAAAAAAAAAGACATCATAAGTAACGCATTATCTACAAATGGAAAAGGCCGACCAAGAAAACATTAAGAAAACATAAGAAACATAAGAAAACATTAAGTCACTAAAAACAGGTAAAGAGAAAGATCTAAGCTACTTTTGCAATCGATCGGCTTAAGAACAAACTAAAAAAAAAAAAAAATCATTATTTAATAGTAATACATTATAAATAGTAAGTAGTTTTGATTTTGGTATGTTATAAACAATTTCTTAGTTAAAGTGTCAAAGAATAATGTGATCAAATTATTGATCTCGGTATATAGTTGAATACTGTGATCAATTTATTAAATGAAGCAACAAAGTAGTTACTCATACCTGTGGAACAGGAAGAATCATCTGGTGAGGATATTTTTGCTGCCATTCAAGTTGCCACTGCAGAAAGAGTTGTTGCTGTTGCAATAAAAGTTCATAGGATGTTTCAGATTCAAGTAGTGAAGCTTGACTTTTCTGTGCATTTGGGGGACCCTGAAAATAGACATAATAAATATATATAATTAACTTTGCAGTGATAAATATAATAATTAACAAAAAAAAATTTAAAATTTCGTAATTAAATAATTTTGTTCAAACTTCGGAAGAATATTTTAATCTATAAATTTATTTCATATTTTTAGCAGTTCAATCTATTTTGTATCAACGCAATAACATTTACTAAAATCTCATAATACATATATGTAAACCAAGTTGATGGAAGAGCTGGTGAGTGAAAGTTGAGGATTATTTTGCAAAAATCGCAGTGGGTACGATTTGATTCCAATTAATTAAAACTTAAACAACTCAATATAAAACTAATTTACTTCATTTGAACCTTTTTGAGTTTTTTGAAAATTCTTGAAAAATAGAGCTTATGAATCAACTATTTTCTTGTACTGAGATATTTTTATATCATATGTTATATAATGTCATAAGTTATTATGTTTTACGTTATATAAGTGAGTGTGTGATATAGATATCTATCTTTTTTTCTAACAATTGCTTAGAACAATATTAATATTTTGTACTAATGTGTTTGCTAAAATTTATTTCTTTAAATGACATAGCATAATATAGAATGAAATTATATATAAATTGTACATAAAAAATAGCAAAATTTAATTTGAAGTAAACATTTACAAGATTGAGTCAAGCTCACTGTAAAGACTGAAGTTTCAGTTGAATATTTCAACTATCGACTTCCCAGCTTTGTTTAAAGTGATAATTAACCTTCTATTGATAATTTATCACAATAAATAAATTGTTGGAAAAATATTTATTTAGTGTTAGAATGTGTGATTATTTAAAATGTTAAAATAAATTTCATAAAACAATCTTTTCACGGTGCAGTACTGCGATAAAATATTTTTACAAAATGTTAATAAATATAAAAACAAAAATGCATTTACCTTATATTCATGAAATTTAATAGTACGAGGTTTAGGCTGAGCTTTTGGTTTGGATTTTTTTCTGCGTACAACAGTTGTATTTTCTTTAGGTACAATTTCACTTGTTAGTGAAATTCCAGATTGACTAGAGACAGGTGAAGGTGTAGAAGTTGGAGGTGTTCCTGATGATATTCTCAACTCTCCCAAACTGTTACTAGGTGAATCTTGATTTTGGTATGGTGACAAAACCATTGTTTCCACAGAAGGCATGCTTTGGGAAAATATTTCAGAGATTAATTATTATTACTCATAACAAATAGTGTCATATACAATTTAAAAAAACAAAAAAGATTAATTATGAATTAAATGATTATAAGTAAGGAGAACCTCTCCCACAACTATAATAAAAATAAACCATGATTTTTTTAATTAAAACTCTTAATAAAATTATATTTTACATAAAAAATAACTTAGAACATTTTTGTATAAAATGATAGATAACTTTTATACAAAAAAAAAATAAGTTACTTTAAAAGACATGGAACTGTTAGATTATTTTTCATAGAAAACTAATTCATTAATTTCAAAAATTATTCATTAGTTCAGAAATTATAACTTTTAAATAAAAATTATAACTATTAAATACTATCTAAAATACACATTTTTAACCAGGGTGCCCAGTGAGAAAAAATTTTCAAATTCCTTGACTTTTTCATGTAAATTCACGATTTTTCCTGTATCGCGCATATGAAACTTAATATTGAATTTTATTTATAAAAAATACTTTATCATTCAAAATATATAATCAATCAGAGTAAAACCGAAAAATATTGATAAACAGTTTAATATTATAAAAAAGACACTCGGTACTTGTAAATAAGACTGGTTTCATTCCAGATCTTAAAAAGGGTATTATATCCCCCTAAAAAATAATATCCACCACAAAAAGGAGCATTGTATTTCACAAAAATTTACATCGCTTTCAAGAAACCCAAAATATATGAAGTCTATAATTTCATCATTAAAAAAAATTCAGATGCTGATATAATGTATTAAATATATCATTTATATGTTATATTTAGAAAATGAGAGATTGAAAAGATGAATTACTGCTGAAAAATCAATCTGTAACTTCAGGACCACTTGGAATAAATATGGGAGAAAACTTGTTAGTGTCGTTCATAGTGAAGTGCTGCTCACAGATTGAAGCATCGATCGCTTGATGAGTAATCGCTTGTTTTTAAAAACTTTTCCCTGTTTAACTAAAAAATCTTAGAAATTTCCTGATATTTCTCTGAAATTTCCAGAAATAAAAAATTCCCTGATAATTCAATGTTTTCCATTACCCCTGTTGCTGGACACCCTGTTAATTTAAAAAGATACTTTAATCTTAATTTTTATTTTTGAAAATGAGAAACTTACCTATTTAGAGATTGGTCTAGTAAGTCCTGTGGAGGAGATAAAGCTGCATCACTCCCACTGTCATCTTCAAATGTGAAACAAGGCATTGGATGCCTTAAGGCTTGCCCTTCACATGTTCGCTTGAATTGGATTTGTCCCTCTAAATAACATATAAATCATGAAAAAAAAATCTTTACGAGTTACATTTTTTGGTACATTATTAATTTAAAACTGCTAATTTTGTTTGAGGAATACTGTTAATACAAATAAGAAAAACGAGTAATAGTTTAAGTTCTTCTGTATGCAGCTCAGTTTTTTTTTTCCAACTGTATACAAAAATACAATATTTCAACTGAAAAATGCGTCAATGAAGACTTTTTGTGAAAGTTTCGGTTTTGGGTGAAAGTGAGAAAAATTTATTCATAAATTTGTGAAAATAAGGTCTTGTTTTTGTTATTTTGTAGAAACAAATTGTAAATTTTTTAATTTTGTTTTTTAAAAGAAAGTGGCTCTTGAATAGTGAAATGTCCTGTCTTTACGAATTTGCAAAAAATCCACTAGAAGTTTTTTTAATAAAAAGCCAGTGTAAAATCTAGTTTATTTTTCAGTCCTGTTTTTGCAAAAAAACACAAAAAGCATGTCCTTTCAAGGAGTTGTGGTTTGAAAATTATGAATTAATGACCTCATTATCCATAATTACCTAAAAACAAATTTTGTGAAAAAATCCATTTTTGAACTGAAAATATTCTGAGGGACCTATTTCATAATAAAATAATTTGTGGAGTGTCAAATTTGTCAGTAAAATAGTTCGTGGATAAGCCATTTTAATTGTAGATGTTTGATAGAAGAGGGCTTATTTCATTGCTAGTACTTATGCCAAGAAATACATTGTTTCAACTGTAATAATAAAAGAAAACGTGCAAAATTAATTAAGTTCGTAAAAGAGAGTTGTATATAATATTACGTAGGGGTGCCACCAGATATTCTAAACACAACGGAAAAAAAATTTTGTGAGAAAAAAATTTCAAAAATTTTGAATCATACTTGAGTAATTAGTTTTTGATGTGCTCAATTTATACAGATTTTATTGTAAGTCTTTGTTTCTCGATCCTTTTTTCAATGGTTATAGGCTACGTATTTCCGCACAAATTTAAAAAACTAAATATTTTTAATATGATACTATCATATGCAAATTTCAAGTCTGAGTAATCACTTTTTGATTCACTTTATTTCTGTAGATTTTATCAGAAATTCTAGTGACATTTTGATCGCTTTTTTTTTTTTGGCATTTATAAATACCTACTTCCATACGGTTTATAAAATTCGGATATATTCATTATGATTTTATCACTTTATGACATGCTTTATATATGTCGATTTCATTGCATATCTAAATATCATAAATTTTTTTTAAAAAGGCTGTTATAGCAATGCTTTTTCATGTGATTTTGACAATCCTGTATTTTTACTCGGATATTATAAAGACAGGCGAGATACAAACCACATATTTAAATCCCTTTTTGTTTTGTTTTTGTCGATTTTATCAGGTAAATCCAAGTTTTTTATCAATTCTTTTTGACAGTTTTTTCAATGAATTAATTCATAAAAAGGAAGAAAAAACACTTTTCTTAAAAAGTATCAGTTTTTCTTTTGAGTGAACTCTAATAATTACAAGCATTTAGTTTTCTGCAAATATATTATTAGGTGTACAGATCAAAACAATTTAGTGGTTAGAACACTGTTTATTTAAAAATTATCATATTTGCCACCATCATAATTAAATAGGCATGACCCTTCACTCAAAAAGATTGTGCACCCCAATATTAGGGCAATAATCGTTGCACTTTTTTCAGTGCTTTGAAAAATATGTGCTATTTTTTTTCCTGTTAATGTAAATGACAAATCAAAAATGTGCATTATTGAAAAATATTAACTCTTTAATAGGTATCTGCGATGCACACTTTTTTTTTTTCAAAATAACACTCAGATAAAAGAGATAAATAATTCTACCAAACACTTTATAAACCTGAATGTTGAATAAAAAATTCAATGAAAGCTAAGCACTTATTTTTAAGAAGAAGAAAAAATTCCAGCCTTAAAAAAAGTTTTAAGAATAAAAAAATTTTTAAGGATTTTAAGAATCTATAAGAACTTATTCAGTCAAAATGAAAGTAATTAAGAAAATAAAAGTATATTACCTTTCACAGCCTGTGCAAATTTTTCATCAGCTTGTAAGATATTGCCTTTAACTAGCTCTAATGGTCCTGGGCGATGGGATAATCGATCATTCAGATCATCTGCCAGACGAGCTTTCTTCAACTGACGCTGTTTGTCTTGTAAACTTGGATCAATTTTTGTATCTGAAAGATTTGCATTTCAAGTTAAGTTTTGTGATGATGAAAATAATTTTGAAGTACAATAATTTTTATTGAAAACATAAATAGCAGAGGCTACAAAAAAATTTACTTTGAGCTACTAAGTCATTGACATACTAGGAAGATAGAAATAAAAAAATGTAACTTACATAAATCTTTTGAAAAGCTTAATGAACAATGTAAAAATGAATTTTAAACTATAATGTAAAAATTAAATATTTACTAAACCCATTTGAACAATAAAAATTGAAACACAATCAAACATCCATATCACGAGCCATTCATATTACAAGCACTAAAAATTTAGTGATGTCAATGATTTAGGGTACCCAAAATCCTATTTTAAAAAATTTAGTCAAACTAACAATCGTTCTGATATATTAAAAATAGTTATACAAGTATTTACTTCCAAAAAACAATTACTTCAAACAATGTCAATGTATTTGCTTCTTTGTTTGATTTACGCTTTACGGAAAATCTTCTGTTTTATCATCTTTTGAATCTTATTTATGGTTGTTTCAATCTATGTGCAGATATTGGATGATGGATAATTTAGGCAACTTTTCTTTCCAATACCTCAGATGATCTTTCTTATTGGAGCTTCAAGAAATAGTTCTTAAGCAGTTTAAGTTCTTCAGAGATAAGGAAAAAAACATTTTGGGTAATCTAAAATATTTCATGAAATCAAGTGCTTATGTTTTTTCCATCAAAAATCATCTGCTACTTGTTTTCCAACAGTTGACCCCAATTTCATGTTACGCTTTTTAAACTGTACAATCTGGTGTTTCGTCTACCTCTTTTCCTTTTTCATTCACATTTTCAAAATGCCCCTATTTTCATTGTGTTTAAATCATTATATAGATATGTCCAAGCCTTTTTAATTGATATACCTTTAGTTTTCACAATATTTGCTTCTCTGAATTTGGTGTAAAGTTAGATCCTTATTTCAATCTTATTAATTTTTGTTTAATCCTTACTTCATCATTTTATTAATTTCTGGCTGTTAAAACATTTAGCCTTTTTTTTTCAAGATAGAAATTACTTGAAATGATCTTCCAGATTGCACTGTGTTCATAACATAATTTTTCATAATTTATGAGCAACATATTTATATATGTATGTTAAATAATATGTCACATAATAATTTACATAATTACATAAATAATAGAATACAAAAAAATAACAGTTAAGGGTAAAACTTAAAGTTTTATGCTAACTCTAAGGAAAATTTTGGACAATCCCTCGTAAATATTTACTCAGTGTTCAACTGTTTTGATTATTTTGAAACTCTGTAAGGAGTTTCAAAACTCTTACGTAATTTTAACTATACTTTTGTCATTTTTTTTAAACTTTCTTCTCTCAAAAAAAAAAAAAAANTTAATGATTCAAAAAAAAAAAAAAAAAATCACAATAAAATTTTCTGCTCCCACTTCAGATTATTTAATAACTTCAATGAACTAAACAGCACACCTGAGAGTGTTTGGACTCAACAATTACACAAAGAGCAAATAGGGGAATCTGCTTAACTGAATGTGTGCAGATGTTTAGCAAGAATTTTATGATTAATGTTGATGACATAAAAAAGGATCAAAATATGAAACTAACAATTAATTATGATAAATTTATACCTTCTAAAATATGTTGTTGGATTAATGCTTGTCGATCTGGTCTTTTTTGAATTTTATTTTTCAAAAAGTCACCCATCTGAAAAAAAAACAAACAAAAAACAAGTTAATTCAAGACCTACAATTTACAAAACGTTCATTACTTAATACAATTAACATTTTGTCTATATACTACTATATCAGTATAACAAAATAAAAGATTAAAATCATCTATGTACAATCAAATCAGTATCAAAAAATACTTAAAAAGGAGTAAAGTGTTCCCAAATAAAAAAATACAAATACCTTAGCTCTCTCCAACTTTTGACGTTGTTCATAGTAGTGTGGTGGAACTTTTGGAGCTAAACATGAAAATGAAATTTAAGCCATGATTATGAAAAGTAATTAAAATATTTAATATAAAATTGAATAATGTTTAATTGAAAAAAAATAAAACAAATGAAACTTACATGGTATAATACCCTGATCTACCAATTGATTAATTGGTCTTCTATTCATCAACTTCATCTTTAATGCTGAAAAAAAATATTTAAAATTATTAATATCTATTGCACATTCTAAGAAAGTAACAGAGAATAATTTCTTTCAGAATTTTACTGAATATATACAACAATGAACAAGAGAAATATTTCTGTAAAATATTAAGTGACTTTCACTTCAGTTTCTATTTTATTTATTAATAACTTTGAATTTCTTGTTAATTTTAAATGCACGATTATTTAATGTGCACAAAATATATAATTTAAATATTTTAAACTATAATAATTATCTTTGTTATAACCCAGGTTCTTGTCTTCCAATCAGGACTTTTTCTGAACTTTAAACAACTGGTTTCAAAAAATAAATAAAAATTATGTTGTTTAACAGGAAAGTTGCATGTAGCAGGGAAATTTCAATACAATTTCCCCAGGTGCCAATTAAATAAAGTGATGAAGTTTCAACAGTTACATAGAGCAAAATTTATTTTGGAAGTTTTATTATACAATGAAAAATTTCTGGCTCTGCTTTGGTTCTTTCTACTTCAAACAAGTTACAGATTCCATATTTAATATTCTAACTTTTTAAAATCCATGTATTAGCCATGTTTATCATATTTTAACACTACAATTTTAATCACATCTTTTAAAAATTAAATATTAATAGGACCTAAGACAAGAAGATCAGGGAGTTCACAGTTGCATAAGAGGCCTCAGACTACAGAAGGTCTGGGTATAATCATTAAAAAAAGAAATTACTATTTCCTATACAAAACTTCTCCAGCATATATTTTAGTGTCATTAAAATATAAATTTTAATTGGCAAATTTTTATTACTTTATTACTAAAAAAAATTAAATTAAAATCAAAGGCTAGAAATTCTCTCTCTCTCTCTATATATATATATATATATTTTTTAACGGAATCTGAATTTTAAAATTCCACCGCAATTAACAAATACTTTCTGGACTTCAACATAACATTACAATTCAATTAGTGAAAACTGCAGATAAAATATTTATTAATGGTTGGATAGGTCATTATATAGGAAAAATATTAATCAAATTTTAATCAAAATTTTTCCTTAGAAATTTTTATTTTAACATGTTTTTGTTATTAATCAAATAATAATTTTTATCCATTACTTTAGCAAAAATAGCACGAAAATACACGATTAAATTTTTCTTAAAAATCCTAATCAATTTTAGGTAATAATTCTTTTTTTTTTTTTTTTGAAAATTGTACAAAGGAATAGTTTTGTAGTGAATGTGCATGTAGACTTATCTAAGGACCTAAAGATCTATTTTTATATAGCTAGAAATTTAAATTTTCATTTGGTTAGTGTGTGTTCATTTTTAAAGTATAGAAAATTTCCAAACACACTCTATTTTATTAAAGCATAAGGTTCTTTGTCGCAAAAGAAATAATTGTAAAAAATGTTGAAAAAGTCTACGCAGTGTATAATAAAGACAGGCTTGGGCGCATTTACTGGAAAAAGGTTTCAGATTTCATCGGCTCGGATTCATAAAATTTTTATTAATTTCTTTTTTATTTTAAAACAATTTTATACTTTAGTACTTAAAAACAAGTTATAGATCACATGTTCAATGTTCAAATTTTTTTCTTTTTAAACTTATGTATTAACCACATACTGATCATTAGGAAAAATAAACAAATTTAAATCAACAATTTTCTTTTATTTCACGGTCACTGTTTCTTGTCTTATTAATCAAATTATAATTTTTAGCCATTACTTCAGTCAAAATGGCACGAAAATACATGGGTAACTAACATAAAAAATCAAACTTCATTTAATTATAATTCAAAATTACACTGAATTATTATTATATCAAAATTAATGTTTAAGCAAAAGTTTACTACTTTCGAATAAACAACTTTTTTTTACTACTTTAAAACAGGTATTAAGTTTAAAAAAATATATAAAATTCATGTGGTATAAAAAATTATAGCAATCTGCCTTTTTAACTTCAAAGGCCAAGTAGTGAGACTAAAATTATCGGCTTTTATCCAACGTGTACCATGGACTTTAGCTGACTTCGGCTCTAAATAATCCCACGTAAGTATGAATTTATCTCTAGAACATAACAATGAATTTTTTTTTTAAAAAAGGAAAAATTATACATGTTGTGGCAGTCAAACTCTAAAAATGTGAATGCAAAAATATTAAAGAAAAACACTTACATTCTTTGTTTTTATCCATGGCTAATTGTAGAGATGCCTCGTCCACTTGGGCCTTAGGTGGGGACTTAGAATCTCTTATGTGATGGAGGGCAGCGATCATGCTTTGATAGAGAGCATGCTCTTTCTCATCATTGTCATTCATGACTAACAGGGACACATAGCAAATAACACTGCTTCACTGATCAGAAATAAGAAAACTAAGCATTCAGGAACTCCATAGTGACTAAAATAAGAAAAACACAATTTCAATAACATAAAAAATTTTACTTGCAAAATAAACATCAAGTAATAAATAAATGCGTTAATCAAGAATAAAAATCAAGAAAATTTAGTCACGAAAGGAGAAGTAGTTAAAAGATATTACTAGTCCTTACAAATTTTCAATACGCCATTTACATGCCTCTATTATAATACATTAAAAAGTAAACTTAAATAAAAAATTACAATTCAGAGAAAGTGTAATGTTAACAATTATGATGAAATATGCTATTGTGTGCAAAAATATAGACCAAAATATGAAACTAAAACAGCACATCTTTTTACATTAGTAGCCGGTCCTGGGGACCACTAACAATTATTTTAATACAGACTGAATCACATTTTATTGATCCTTTATATTCCATTATATTATTAGTCAATAATATAAGGAAACATTTATATTAACGCTATATACATAAGATGCCTGGAGACTGACTTAACCCTTAGCTTCTGTGCAACAAGTCTGGCATTCTGTCCTTGAACATGGAAAGGTTTTCTCTGCCTTTCATCTCTTCAGTTTGTCAATAAAATTAGTACCAAGCATGCTTGGGGACTGAACACTGGAACTTTTGAGTTTGCTGACCTCTCAACCGGAACGTCTGTAACAGCACCCCAGAGCCCAAGGTCAAGAAAACTGGGATGGCCTTAGCCCTCTATTTGTTGTTGCAGCACAGTTTTTAATTTAGTTTATATGCATAAACACTATATTAAAACATTGATATTTCTACATATTATGAACAAACTGCAAAAGTTTTTGTCCAATATGAAACTAATTGAAATAAAACACAATTTTTATTTACAAATAATGTATTTTCCATCCTTTTCTCGCTATGTTTAAGAAATTTTTGAATTCATTTTTTCTATAAAATTGTGTGGTTTTTATTATAAGATAGCTAAAAAGGGTTTTAATTTTTTCAGCATGTTCACCTTTTTTTCTTATTCTAATTATTTTGCCAAGAACAGAATTTATCAGCATTGACAAGATCAGGGGATTATGGGGTGGATCTCTCCTCTCAACGAACAATATTCTTACCCTATCTGTGGTAGGAGAGATCTTTAAATTGACCAACTGCAAACATTTTACTTGCATTTCAATATTAATTTACGCAAATTGCTTACAGTACTTCTCTACAATTGTTTGTTGGTTGTATTTTTCCGCAATCTTATCAGAAACATAAAACTTTTTTTATACAGTTAAGAATATGTACAAAATTTTGTATGACTTAATACAGTTCCTGGTGTCTATTAAAATCATGTCCATTCTGAGAGCATTTAATTTTATAAGGCGGACTATTTTATAAACCAGAATGTCTATAGTTGAGGGGGAGAAAAGTTGCATAACTTTATTAACACATTAAATTAAAAACTAAATTGATTACTACATTTATATTTTATTTTTACTCATCTACATTTGGCATTTAAATTAAACATGAGCTACCTTTCTTAATTTACAGAAGGGCCTTAAAATGCTGGTACATTTGATTACAATAATTTTCGGGAGTAAACATTGCCTCAAAGTTTATACAAATTTTTGTTATTTTCAATATTTCCTTCTCAAATCTAAAGTTTAATTAAAAATATCAAGCACTTCCGGCATCTAAAGACAGATTTACGTTACTGAATGAGCAATTATCATGGGCGCTATAGGTGCCCAATTTATGAGAGGGACAAAAGTAAAATACTCAGTCAAAATACTCTTTAAATTTCACACATAAGAAAAAAATATTTCTAACGTCTGCAAAAAAATTAATAAAAACTCTTTTTCGTTTTGACTTTAGTGAATTTCAATAGATAGAATTCATAAAAATTTTCTTTGCCTGAAATATTGAGGGGGCATTTTAGGAGATACAAGTTTTCTTAATTCGCAAACAGCTTTAATTTGGATTTTTTATACTCCCTGTTTTGGTTTCATAATTTTTTTTAAACTATCACTCTTCAATTTCTTTAAAAAATATGTTCCATACATCTCGCATGCACACCAGCAACACAGTTCTTTTTTTTTTGTAGGGGGGAAGTACGAAATTTGTTATTTATATGCTTTCAAAATTTGAGAAATAGAAAACTCTAATTCAGAGAAGAAATTGCATAGTTTTTATTTATCTTTTAAACATATACTCTAAAAAATTTGATTTCAAATAATGGCAATAATGATTTTATAAAAAGATGGTTTTAGCATGTTATGATGTTGTAATGATTCTGTTCTTGCAGATTCGGATATAAAAAGCTACTGCATTTACAATCAATTAGTCTTACTCGTGACTGTCAGTGTATAATAATTAAAATCAGAAAATTCAAAGCTTTCAAATTAAAAGTGATATTATAGTGAAATAAAGAATAAAAAATATTTTTGATGATGAATTTTTAATTTTAATTTGAACACTTTTTTACTTAAAAACTATCCAGAGTCACTGTCACTAAAAATCATCTAACTCATTCCATAAGCTGAATAAAAACGAAAAATTTTACAAAACAAAATTCAGGTTTATAAATTCGCTGTGTTCTGGGTCACACCCCACCATTTGAAGATCCTAGAGAACTATTTTAAAATAATGATACACACCTAGTTGATCCATAAACTTGAAATAAAAATGCATTTTAAAAATTGGTGACCGCTAAACCACTAACATAAAATGTGATAAATAAAGCAGATGGAGAGGGCTTTTCAGATTATCAGGGTCAAAAATGATTAGATATAAATCACGATATTTAAAATATATCATTATTCTAATATCAATTACATTAATCCTTGTTGAAATATTAAAAATTTGAATTGTCTTAAAAAAGTAATTAACTTAGTAAGAAAAGGATACGCGAATATTAATTCGTTTATTTATTTTAACTTTTTGGTGAAGAAGAGTATTATTATAATTATATAATTTAATATTTTTTACAGGTGTGTGGGAGTAAAAGTTAAAGTCTTTTTTCTTTTTTTTTTTTTTTTTTTAATGAGCGTTTACTTTATAAAATCCATTATTAAAAGCACAAACTTTTTATTAACCATAATAAGCGCTACTTGAAAGATTAAACAAATATTAAAATTAAAAAATATATATATACAAATTAAGTCTATCAATATGTAAATCATTCTCAATCATATATCAACAAAACGATCGGAAAAAAAATTAAAACAGTGTAGTACATTCATGATCTTTTAAACTATAAATAAGAAATGTGAATTTAGTAATGATCCGAAAAATGTCCGGGTTCATGATAAAATATTTTGTTGGATAAGTATCTCTTCAAACCACTAAGGTCGTAGGGTTAAGTATGTCTGAAGAATAAATAGACTGATTTGAGGACGTCATCTTTTAAGAAAAAATCATCAATTGATAGATCCTCTATCCATTAAACATAAAATAAAAACAAACGAACATTTTATAAAAATTATATTTTACAAAATATATTTTACACAATATATATTTTACACAATATATATTTTACACAATATATATTTTACAAAATATATTTTACAAAAATAATATAATATTTTTCAATATATTTTGTAAAATATAATTTATAAAATTTAATAAATTATATTTTACAAAATATTACATTTTACAAAAAGTCAAAATATATTAAATTATAAACATCATAAAGGATATATTACAAGCAACAATTAGAAGATATGTCAAAAATAAAATGTTCCAATGATGCACATTTGAATGTGTATTTTCAAATAACTCTTTTGTAGCTGGTTATGCCAATTATTAATTAAATTTAAATCAAATTGATTTTTTTTAATCTAAACGAAATTAAATTCAGCTTATTACAAGATTTCCGTTCATTTATTTCTTCCCAAGTTCTATAATTTAGATTTTTTTTAAATTTTAATGAGCATTTTTAAATAAGTTTTTTCATAGCTGGTTATGACGAATTTTCATTCAATTTAAATAAAATTGATTTTTTTTTAATCTACACAAAATTCGATTTAGCACATTACAGGAGTTTCATTACTTTATTTTTCAAATTTAAATATGCCTTTTTGCCCCCTTCCTTCCCGGCTATGAATGAAGTATGGTTAATTTTATGAGAAAATCGATATAAAAAAAATTTAAATTTTTAATCAATGTTTTTAAATTCAATAAATCGATAAAAATAGAACATTTTCGATACGATCAATTAAGAAGACAGATTTAAAGATTAAAATTATATCGTTCGAGATTCGGATTATCAGTACCTTTGTAATTACCATAACCAGTCTGACGCGTCTCACTGTGAAGCCCCAAAAAGAAAAAAATATTCCTAATAGTATTTTTCTTTTTATATTAAACCTCAGTTAGCGAGCAAAGCTAGACAGAAAAAGCTCCGCTGCTTAGATTTTACCTCTTGTGTCTCTACTGTTCAGAAGCATCGATAAATTTTGTAAGGAGGCTCTTTAAACTTTGCCCTTTCGCGGAACACTTGCGAGAATAAGTCACTTAGACCCACATAAATATAAATTTTTCTTTTCTAATTTCATTGTCAAAAAGAACAACTTAAATTTGTTTTCCTATTTTATTTTCTTCAAATTTTATACGTTCGTAATTTTTTTTATTTTATGTATACTACATTAGAGGCTCCTAGAAGTAAGAGTTTTGTGCTTAATAATCACAGCTTAACTAATCATTTAAAATGTTTACATTAATCTTATTTTTTTCAGTTTTGTGTTCAACATAATTTTTTGCGGCGAAGACGCCAAGAAATGTGACCACTTCCGTCTTTTTTCCTATCCCCCCCCCCATAAGAATAAAATAGAAAACGATGCTTTTCAAATTTTCAACACCAAATTTAAATTTTTTATAGTTAATTTTTTTCCAAACATGATCGATTTAGGGCAGCGGTTCCCAATTTTTTCCAGCAATGAAATCCTACATGGTCGACCTTCAATCGGCGGAACCCTGAGACTTAATAAATTTCATTAGCAATTGTGAATTAATAACTAAGAAACTATTAATTATTTTAAAAATATGCAATAATCTAAATTTT